CTATCTCTTCATCCACTGTTGCCATTATCACACAAGATAATGGATATTTTCCACGTAACATTACGTGGCTTGATTATTTTAATGCATGTTTTTTAATGGAGCTTGTTTATCAATGTTTTGCGACAAAACTATTCGCAGGTGAGTGCTTCGTAAATTATATTATGTAGAAGTAGCTGATGCTCGCGAATTTGTGCGCATGGAATAAGATAAACTAACCGCCTTTAGTTTTTATTGAATTATAAATTTTTTGACTAAATTATAAAAACAACAAGATCTACAAGACCTCGATATTTTTCATCGATTTATAAGTACGCCGTTATAATCTCTGTGTAGAGTCTGTTTTTTAAGATAGAGCGAAATGACGTTTCAAGGGTTGCCAGTTTCCCTAAAATTTTAAATAGTCATGTAGTTGTTGTCGATGGTTGTATCGATAAATTATGAAAATGGATCAACCGGTACTATCACAATTTTGACAACTTTTCAGGATGAAGAAAAAAATTGTTTGCTTCATTTATATATAGCATCTGGTTTATTAAATAAAAATACGCAGTGTACATACATACATGTGCAATAAAAATATTTAAAAACTACGTATTTTTATTTTATAAACCAGAATCTGTATAAACGACGCAATTTTATTCTTCACCTGTAAAGTTGTCAAAATTGAGGTAGTACCGATTGCCAGTTCACAGTCGAATATGCTGAATCGATCCACAGATCGAATCGTGTCTCTTGAATCGATCTTATAAAAATCGTTTCAAAATCAATGTCGATAAAAAAAGTTTTGACAGCCTTTTTGCTTCAATCGGTTACGACTTTAATTTAACCTAACCATTGAGAAAAGATTTATTCTAGCCAATGAGAAAAGACGGCACAGAAGTAGCAGCAATGGCCAAGTATTGCACGCTTATTGTACTTAGATTTTGTAGACTTATTGTACTTAGATGTTGCTAAACTGCTTTCTTGCAGGCCATTATAAAATAGGGGTCCATCAGAAAGAGACTGTTTTATTTAAATTATGAATATGATCGAACGATGATTGAACGTTGAATCGATTTACTTAAAAATCGCATTCAAATGAATCGAAATCGAATCCTAATGTGCATCACTAGTTGAATTAAGCTCTCTCTACATGATCGCGTCGACACTTGTTTGGGAAACTTAGTTATGCAATAGGATATTTTTACACTCGAGACGGTTTAAACCACTGTGTGTGATCGATCATTGTTTGTACCGTCTAAGAGTGGTTACCAGTGGCGAGGCGAAAATTGTTGTTAGTAAAGCCGGAGCAAAACAACACCTACACTACTAAAAAAAACACCTACCGTAAGAAAAAATGGCGACTTGGCGATACGTAAACACAACTTATTAGCACACAAGGTACTAGTACACTTGATTTCGGCGGTTGACTTATTCTATACTTAAAATTTAGCACAAAATGTAGTATTTGATAGTACCTGGAAAATTTTAGGCAAGCCAGTGAAAATCTAATCATATGGACGCCTCGCCACTGGACGCGCGTTCGTATCGATGCTGCAGTTTCCATCGCTGCTTAAAATTGCGTGCTTAAAGGTAGACGAAAAGCGACTGCATCGCGTTTGCATCGCTGTTAAAATGTAACGTATGTTAGGATTGATTTTAAATTGATATTTATCAAGCATCTCATGCTGTGTGTACTAGCAGATGTTCTTATAGATGATTTTGTTGGCTTTCTCTAACCGATATAACTATTTTACTGTGTTGTGTTCCATGTGTTAACATTACCTTGTTTATGACAATTGCAGTGTTACTAACATAAATTTTTATTGAGTTTTCTCTACGCAATGTTAAATTCTTTATCAAGAGATTCTTTAGTAATTGTGGGTTAGTCATAATTTGTTTTTATATTTATTCAATATTGGTAGTTAAATTGGTATTTAAATATCTCAAGACTATGAATATATTAAACAAGCTACAGAAGTAAATAGATGAGAGCAATAGTTATTTTACCTTTTGTTAATTCATTACTATTATTTATTTATTCAGTGCAAAAAGTGTAACTAAATAATAGAGAATGCAAATAAAGAATTCATGTTATAAAGTCACGATAAAACTAAATTGTATGTATTACGAGACTCGGTTTTCGCTTTAATGAAAAAATAGAAATGCATACCGTAATGTATTTTGTAAAAATATGAATATGTCAGTATTTATTGCAAAAAAAATCTCGTTTTAGCCTTGAAATATAAAAGGTAACGTTTCGCGTGACACATTTCGTTGTGAGAAAAGCCAACAGAATGATCAAAAGACAGATGCTATAGGCTAGGCGACCCCTAACCAAACTACAGGAGCGCGCGCTCGTTGTGCAGGGCGGGTACGTGTCGGGGCGCGCCGCCACGCAGCTGCACTGCGTGAAGAAGGCCAACGCGCTGGCCGCCGCCAAGGAGAAGGACCGCTCGCCCACGCCCGCGCACCGCCGCGACGACAGCCAGGCCGGCACGCCCGCCTCCGCCACGCCGCCGCCCTCCGTCAGCGCCGCCGTGGTCAGTGCCCGCCTGTCTTTTCTAGAGGGCGAAAGCGCCATTCCGAAAACTTTCACGACTGTTTTAAAATATTTACGTCCCGTTTTTAAACTTAATTAAAACTAGGATTTAATTTTAAAACAGTCGTTAAAATCTAAGACATGCTGCCCTGAAAATCACCGACGATATAAGACAACCTCCGTGGTCGAATGGCTTGCATGCCAGTTTTCTTCGTGTCGCCATCTCTGAGGTCCCGGCTTCGATCCCCGGCCGGGTCAATGTAGAAAATCTATTTCTTATTGTCTCGGGTCTGGGTGTTTGTGGTACCTTCGTTGTTTCCGATTTCCATAACACAAATGCTTTAGTTACTTAATTTGGGAAAATAAAAAAATGAATGTAATGTGAGATTAAGGGGACGCCGCCGATTGAAACTCCAGCATGAAATTGCGGAATACCCTACATAAACGATGCAAACCTTGCAGGAAAAACAGTTATCCGACCTGGTGGACGAGATTCGCAAGCTGAAGTCGGTAATAGTGAAGCAGGAGAACCGCATCCGCGCGTTGGAAGCCTCGGTGAAGGCGAGCCTGTCTCCCCCGTCCCCCGTGCCGCCCCCCGCCGCGCCCGTAGCGCCCGCCGCGCCCGCGGCGCCCCCCTCCCCGCCCTCGCCGCCGCCAAACCACGAAGCCGAGGACGCGCTGGCGCCCGACGAGGTCTGAACCGGCGCCCTTGCCACCCCGCTTTTTTCATCACGGTTCGGTAAGTGTACTGTAGTTGTATTGGCTGGAGAGTAACATACTTGTTGACTCTTCATCGATTTATTATGGAAACAAATTTAACACAGTAGCGGATTGTAATGCTCTTTTTGAACGTGTAGAAAAAACAAATCATGACACAAAAACAGGTTATAAAAGCGAGATGCGACTATGAAGTTTGTAATAATATTTGACGTAACAGAGCGAGTGTCCGCTGCATAAATGTCAACGATGTAATTTTTGCTAACATACGCAATGTGTATGATTTTCTCCTACTGTACACTCGCTGTTCAACAAAATAGGACCTAATCGGTATTTAACGAAATATATTTATTTAAACGTGGCCTCGTCGTTGAAAATTATTTAAATAAAACTAAGTCCATGAATCGAGCTAGTCTCGATTGAAAGTACGAGAGGCGCCGGTTGATACTGTGTTTTAACGATGTGCCTTGTTAGTGCGAAGAATAATTACGTTTTATACATTTTAAATTAAGATTTATAAAAAGTTTTTTTCTATAGAACAGTGTCAACTTATTGACTACAATGAAAAATCATAACATTTTTCTTATCGTCACATTCGATGACGATGACCAAGTTGTTGATTTTAAGAATAAATTAGTTTTCTATAAAGTGCTCAAAGTATGGCCAGTCCTCTATTATAATATGATCTTTTTATAATTATACATAAATGTTATAAATAAAAATTAATAAAAATTTGTGTGATTTTCAACCTCGCCTGCAAATGTGTTAGGAGAGTTGAAAATATAAATATTTTCGTAACATATAAAAACTATCTTTGCCTTTGTTCTAAAATGTTTTGATATTTCATTGTTCTATATTTATTTGTATGGGAATTGTAAATACTAAGTTTTAATGTGAAGTGATACGCAGATATGTGCCTTATGTTCACTATAATAAAAACGCAATTCGGTAGTGTTTAGTCACAAATGTAACAGAATTGGTGATGTATATTTTTGCATTTAGTTTTGATACATCGTTTAGATAAGTACCGTATTTATTTCAGAGTCTGAATTTTGTATCTTTAGTACAGTTAGGTGGGTAAATGTTTTGACACAAAAAAAGTGAATACTGAAAGTTGGATTCGTACTGTCTTCTAAGTTGATGACCAAATTTAATATCCACCTTAAAGTATTTTACTCAGTCTATTATTTAATTTGTCAGCTTTTATGTATTATTACGTTTAATGGTTAATCTCTTTAGTCTCAAATTAATTTAAAACTTAAATGACTGTATACTTTCGAAGACTGAAATTAAAAATCCAACAAACTTATGTCTTACATTTTTCTACCTAACTGTATCTATTATCATAGTTAAAAATAAAGTTGTTAATGAGTAATAAATTTAACGGCATAAGCGACATTAATAAACACTTTACGTCGTAACGTAATAAAGTAACGAATACGACGGTTCTTATATTTTCATTTCATTAATCATTTATGACTTGTTCACGACACCAAATTAGTGTTGTAAAATATTCCCTGTTATAAAATTAATATTACATTTCCTTATGAAACTGATGACAAAATGCTGCAGTACTATCCCGAACGCTCTTCCATCTTCATGTCTACCAGTTGGTTGCCCATAAATCGCCCTCGCCAGGCAAACTGTCGAACTATTTCATGTAAATTAGGTAATTTTTTCAGAGCGACGCATTTTCTGTTTAGCGTCTTCAACTGTAACTCGTATATACCAATCTCGTTTTACCAGTGAGTTGTATTCATACTTAAAACAGAAAAAAAATGTATAACTGACTAAGATCATACGACAAAAATGTCGGGTACGACTGTCGGTGAGGCGATGGGCGATATATACAAAGTCTACGGTACTGTGTTGTTATAGCACATAGATGTTGTATTTTACATTTATGCAAGAATTTCCTTTTCGATTAATTTGATAAACCATTAGAACCTATCCCCTCTACTCAAAGCTTAAAGATAATCTGTTACCATTAATGTTTTAACTGCGGGATAGTTCACAAAGTTAACATGGAAAGGAAATTCAGAGTTGGACATTTTAAGTTAGGCTTAAGAATCCAGTTACTTGGTGCTTATGTAATTGTTTTTTTTGTATGTAAGGCGTTACGCTTCTAAACCTTCGCTCGCTCCGTACATTAATATTAAAGGATCTATTCACTGTCAAATATGTTGTCTGACTTAGGTCTGGATATACAAAGGAAGCAGGAAACAAATCTATAGTCTTACGTTAAGCGATACACAGGTAGCAAGGAAACAGAATCGTATAAAAGTACTACAACAATAAAGTAAAACTATTTCCATTTCCTCTGGCACGCAGAGTTCCGATTCCCGAGCCGGGAGAAATACTTGTATGGCTGTCATTTATTTCTCTCGTCAGTTTGGGTGCAATTTGTGGTTGTCGGGTGTGGGTCCATGGCACCCGCAATACAGGGTGTCCCTAGTGCTGGGCTATGAGTGTGTGCGTTATTATTGTTGTTATTTCACACCTTCGTTCAGCATCCTTCTTATCCCAGTATTTAATTTATATTTGGCAATATTATATACACTTAGCATCAGTTTAGTAAAACTGCTCAGTCTAAAATTATGGCAAATTTTTTACTCTGCTTTTGCAGCTATTTGAGCTAATATGAACTCTTTGAAAAAAACATTTTTGCCAATTTGTCAATAACACTGAAACTATTAGACATATCTAAAATTTATAATATCAAGGAGCTGCAACTGAAACAATAACTTTGGAAGGAACAGTTATGTCTAGATTGATATGTTGATCAATCTGTTTGACAGTGAGTGTGCCTCTTTAGCGTTTTATTTTTCATACATTTTTATTTGATTTTATAAGCAGGTTGAAGGTCCAATGCGCGAAGCAATGAAGTTTCAATAACTATAAGAATATTGTATTAATTAAATGTGTTTTATCGCTTATTGTACTGATTCTATTGCCAAGTGAACTGAACATTTTAAGGTTTTTTTTGTAACTTAGGAACACCTGGTGTATTATTTTAAGGTACTAATTGCAAGAGCGGATCTTCGTTACTGTTGGTCATAGATAGGTTCCTAAATTTCATAAGAAGTATAAAGAACGTAGACATGAGATTCTGGTCGACTTTTGATTAAAATGTAATAACGTGTCTAACCTTAGTCTAACAGGCCTTGATAGTGTAGGAACCAATTTACGATGACACACTTGTCTCAATTGTCAGAGAGCCAAAGTCCAAAATGATTCAATGACCCAGAGCAACGAACTTGGATTCGATCATTTGCGTGGCCAGTAATTGAAACGAAGATGCGCTACGTGCGTCATTTAACAGCACATCCACGTTTACTTAATCATAATATTAACCAACTTTAACTTGAGTCATTTGCTACATCAGTCTCGATTAACCGTAGATCAATTAACATCAGTCCGTTTTACATTAACACTATTGGGCCCTGGTCACGTCATCAGATATCAATCATAAGGCGAAGTTTGGTACTGTTATTAAAATTGACCAATCACAGAGCGGAAACGAAATTGGCATCATTTTGTTTGATTTTGATAGGCTGATAAAAATTACCAAACAGTCATCGTCTTATTTTTTTCTACACTCTTATCGCTCTCTATCATAAAGGCTAATGAAATGCAAGAGCCTAGAGGTTCTTCAATATGTTTTTTAATTCAAGTTTTATATCTATTATGGAACTTTCCTTGAGCCAGTCAGTCTTCAAGGCCAGGAACATCCTAGAAAGGTATTGATTGACTGTATGCAACACATATATGTTATATTTGTAAGGAAACAATTTAGAGATAACTGGGGCGAGACAGGGCCCACTCTCTTTCGACAGCTAGTCAGTCACTTATGAAATGGGCGTTAACGATTTAAGTTATGCCGTCCCTCCTAGACGGCGAGTATTATAGTTTAAATTTTAGTATTATTATGAAGATTATAATTTTTTTAAATTTAAGATGGCGTACTTTTAGATGTTCGATTTTAAGATCATGACAAGGCAGTGTATGGGTTTTAAATGTGTATATGAAATGCTGTTTTACTTCGAGGGGGTTTGTCTAAGTTAATTTCTCTTTTTGTATGTGAAGCTTTGTATTTTTTTTGTTTTTTGGAGTTTTATACGCCTTTTTAACCGTTGTATAAATGCTGGATTTAACGAGTTGTAGTTACGTACTTACTGTAAATTTTGTGACAATAATGTAAAGCAATCAAGTTATATTTGATGTTGAATATTTGTAATGGTGTTTTGACCGCCGCTTAAAGCGCTTTCCTATTGTAATGTTTCGTTGTAATAGCTCCTTAACCATTGGGAACAGATGTGCAATTATTCTTATCATATTTTAATTACATTTGGTGCACAAAAAAGAAATATTTCGTCAGAAGAAAAGTGCTACACTTTTCTTAGTATAAAATACGTCGTTAACTTACAATATACACACTATGTAATGACATCTCAATGGTCTCAAACGAGGGAACTGTGCCATGAAAAACTCCTAAGCGATACCCAGAAAACGGACGTAAAACTAATCCAGAAAAAATCATTTCCCAATTTGAACCCGGGATCACCTCTTCTGGCGCCTACAGTGCAAAGCACTAGGCACACTGTCCTTTACGTTATCAAAACAGAACTAGAAATAGCATGATATGCATACTAGCATTAGTGCAATTTGGCGTATGTGTGCACATATGCAATTAAACAATGTAAAGAATCTAACATTTGTGTAAATATATTCCTTTTGGTTAGAAAATATTTCAAAGCTGAAAATAGTAAAATAATGAACGCACAAGATTTATGTTATAAATGTAGAATATCGTACGTAATGGTGCTAATTATTATAGGCTACAGTGCCAAATTGAAACTCTGTAATGGTTAATACTGGAAAAAATTTCGTAACATCGAATGCCAAAATTTCTAATATCAAAATCTTCAAATTATATGAAGTAAATTCTATTTTGTAGACACGTAAGAGCAGTAGCCTATGTTACTATGTAAAGTGTCAAATAACAATTACTCTAAAATCAACTCTATGTAGTAGATTTAAGTGCCTTGTTGTGTTTATTATTAAATACTCAGATCAAATGTTGCAATTACGAAAGTTGAAGCAGAAATATATGTCTATTTTACTATTTTCATTGGTCGTTTTATTTTTAACATTGACATTATTGCAGATACCGCTGAGGCCTTGTATTATACAAGTCGGGCAGTCCCCGTTCCCCGCCGAGGTATATATAGTGCTTTTCCCAAACAATACGAGGAAATAATAAAAGACTAAGAAATGTAGGAGCAGGTATACCTAATAGAATAAATAATTAATATTAAATGCATTTTTGTTTGCTCTTGGCCGAAAACAAGTTTTCTATGACAAATGTAAGTAAATACCAGACTATTGTTCTGCCCTCAGAACGAAAAAAGGCACAACTGCTGTATACAGTACGCAAAGTTGTGCCCTTTTTCATTACGAGGGCAGTATTGCTGGCGAGTACTTGGCTATATGACAGTTTTTCTTCAGTCCTCTTATATATACCTATATATACCTATATATCTTTGTTACTAGATATATTTAAAAGTAGGACAGCGGACAGAAATGGAAATACAAAAATGACTTGCATAGCACGAGTACACGAACTTTTTGCAAAGCTCAGTTCACATTTCCTTGGACGGTACCGAAGCTAATTTTTGTAACGAAATTGTACATAGTATGAACTTTGTATTAATTATGTAACATACAGTTCTATGCCCTGAGGTATCTGACACCCTAACCGTCTGTTTGCTTCTCCTTTAACATGTGAACAGTAAAATTCGTTTTGATTTTGGACTTCCTTATTGCATCATTAGATTTGATCTTCAATTATAACCTCGGGTTTTTCAACAAGCACATAACAATTTTGTATTTCTATAAAACACAGAATATTTTTTTTGGTAATACCAGGTGATGGGACGAACAAGTCGCGTCTGATGGTAACCGACACGCCTCTCCGTAACAGTTGCAGTGCCACTCAGGGCTTTAAATCGCAAAGATCTGAGGTGCACTGACTCTGCGTCCATCACCTTGAGACGTAAGTTGAAAAGTCCCATGTGCCTATAATTTCACCAGCGCCCTTATAATTGATATATCGAGCTGAAATGTATTCCAGGTGCAGTACACATGTTACATTTAAGAATGGAACTATATTCTCGGCCATCCCGCAGTCTCTTTCCATCCTCGGGCACTCAAGGAGTGACGACGTTGGCCCAATTCTCGGGTTGCATCCGGCTAACGTCACCCGCCCAATCTCACTTGAGCCTGACTGTTTTGCTCCCCACATCAGCAATGCCAGTCATCGAACACCCCATTGTATTGCGTACTCGGTCAATACGTTTAAAGCCCAGAATGCTGCGTTCCATCATTTCTGGCAGATCTTGAGTTTAGACTTCTGGAACTCGGTCAGCGACTATGTCTATGCACCGTAGGTTAGAATGGGCACGATGCACATATCGATAAGTTGGCGCTTAAATGACATAGGGAGGTTATCCTTCAAGTACAAAGTATATACGTGAGGCACACTAGAAGAAGTTTCCGGAATGAATGAGAAAAAAATACTATAAATGGTCAGAAATGAATTTATTGTTTCTCAAAATATTCTCAGTTAGCATTACTGCACTTTTTCATGCGAATGAACCAATTGTGAAAACATTTATGCCACTCCTCCGTAACAATCTCTGCAACATATTTTTCGTACTCTTCGACAGCCTCGTCAGGTGATGAAAATCGTTGACCGCGTAACTGTTTCTTAATTTTTAGAAATAAATATAAGACACAAGGTGCCAGGTCGGGAATGTACGCGGGATGGCTCATAAGGTCAACGTTATTCACCTTCAAATATTCATTTGTCCGTCTGACCGTGTGAGAACTGGCATTATCGTGGTGCAAGATGATACGGCGTTTACGTTTATTTTTACGGAGTTTGTCAGTAATTTCCAGCAAACAAATGGTCGTGTACCAATCACTATTCACGGTACAACGATTTTCCAAAGCAACACTAGCCACGTATCCAGTTTTATTAAAAAAAGAAGCAATCATCCGCTTAGAGGCACTTTGCATGCGCGCCACTTTGGTTGGTTTCGGCTCATCTCGAAAGACCCATACGCGCGATTGCTGTTTTGTTTTGGGATCGTAACTATAAATCCATGTTTCGTCACCTGTTACTATGTCCCACACCAAATTTGATGCCCCTTCGTTGAATCTGGTAAGCATGGCATTGCACCAAGGGACGCGATCCGCATTTTGAGCCTCAGTCAAATTTTGTTGGGTCTACCTAGAGCACAGTTTTTTCACGCTCATATGTTTGTGTAGTATTGATTGTATTTGACTCATGCTTATGCCTAAAGATGCCCGAATCTCATGGTATGTCACATGCCTGTCTGTTTTGATCATACGGCGCATAGCATCGATGTTTTTGATGTTCACAGCACCCGTCTATCGACCGTCATGAAATTCGTCACTGAGTTCACAAGACCGCGTTTGGATGCTGCGACCAGCTATAAATAGTCGTCTTGCATGGTGCTTCATCGTCAAAAGCAATTTGAAGCCGAGCGATGCTCCGCTGAGCTGTTAAATTACACTTAGGGTCGTATTCTAGAACTCTACTCAATACTCAAGTCCTTGCCAATAGGGTCGTATTTCCAGTGCTTGAAATCATACTCAAGTCTACTCAAATCCTGACTTGAGCATTGAGTAGAGTTCTGAAAATCATACTACGAAAATTTTCACGATTCAATCCATAAAAAGGTTAAATCCATGGTGATGTAGACAACCAATTTCTAAAATGACGCCACAATGTAACAACAAGTGACAGTCAGATGAAACAAACTGTATTCTACATTTAAACTATTTCTTTTTTTCCATCCTTTATGATTCTACAGCCAAAGAGTTCCATTGTCAGATGTTGTAATTACTTTTTAAATATTGTTTATGTAAGTAGCCAGTTCCGGAAACTTATAGTGCGCCCTGTGTAGTCGACAAAATACCTCGAATGTGGGGTGCAAGCTTCGTGCTGATGAATAAAACTTGGTTTCTATGTAAAAAAAAAAAAACAAAATATTACAGTTGAAGCATTTATTTGTCGACATCAAATTCTCTATCGAACTGTTCTTCAGTGATTTTCCTTTTTTTCAATTTTTTCATAAGCCCAACGTCCGCTGCAAGTTCTTCTAACTCTTCTTGTGTTATTGCTTTCCTTTTCTTGCCTTTTTTGCCTTCACTGGTCTTCTTTAGTTCGCGGCGCTTCTTTCGGCGTTGTTTACGTTCTTCTTTGTTCTGTTTTGCTTGTTCCCAGGGTTGACTTTGAGCCTGTTAAATAAATGACAATCCTTTGCATTTATTAATATTAAAACTATTAAAAACTTCTATGTTACTAACTCTCAATAATAAAGTTACTTAACTCGAAAAGAAACAATTTTTAGGAAACTGATAAAATAAAAATATCATGTACTTTATTTGCAGACGACATTTCTCTCCTCTTCAAGTATAACAAAAACGACAAAAACTTCCAGGTAAACTTTGAACAGACATTTAACAACGTAACGAACTGGCTTAATAAACATAACTTAGAAATAAATTATAATAAGACGAAAATTATAGAATTTAGACCACGACAAAAATCAGAATTAGGATTAAATCTATGTGCAAATGGTAAAAATATAGAGAAAGTAACAAAATATAATTTCTTAGGAATAGAAATTGACTCGCATATTGATTGGAAATCACATGTAGAAAAAATTAAAATGAAAATGTCTCAATTCACCTTCGCTTTATACAAACTTAAATGTGTCACAAATGTAAAAACAGCATTATCAGCTTACTACGCATATGCGTTTGCATGGTTAAACTACGGCTTGATACTGTGGGGGAACAGTACCCAGGTAAATGACCTCCTAATCTTACAAAAAAATGTATACGTCTCATAATGAACATTAAACAGACGGAATCTTGTAGACCACATTTTAAAAAATTAAAAATACTAACCCTGCCCTCTATGTACATATTAGAAATTGCTAAATTTATTAGGAAAAACCGGGAATTATTTATTAATGCCGTACCCACTTCACTAAGACCCTCTAGATTTAAGAATACATTAAGCCTTCCGCAATGTACACTTAGCATGTATCAGAATAGTCCGTACTATAATGCTATAAAAATCCACAATAAACTACCCGAGCACATTAGAAGTGAAACTAATTATAGAATTTTCAATAACAAATTAAAAATATTGTTAATTGACAAATGTTATTATAATTTAAATGAATTTTATAATGACAAATTAATGTAATTTTGTAATTAAACTAAAATGTTATGATATTTTATGTATTTGAAGAAGATCAATGATGAATACTGACATGTAATTTTAATCATGTAATTTTAAGTTATTATTTTGTTTTATATAAAATAGGGACCAAATGCCATACCCCCGCGGGGTGTCATAGCAATAAGATTTTTAATGGAAATATATTGTTGTGACTTGCATTTAAATAAATAAATAAATAAAAAACGTACAAATAAATAAAACTAATATATCGCGGTTTGGCTGGCGCTAAATGACATAATACAAATGGCTGACGATACGTACGTTATTTAAAAAAAAAACTTATTTTGTAAACGAATCGATTAAAATGCTCCAATCGCAAGTTCCTATTACGCACTTCTCATGGAAGAATGGCACACATTTTGACAGTTACGTCAAAAACGTTTATTGCTCCATTGGATACAGAAAAATATAACCCACATCTTCTCCAATTCTTGTAACTCTATCGACTAATATTATAGATAGAGTTACAAGAACTGGAGAGAATGTGGGTTATATTTTTCTGTTTAACGGAGCAATAAACATGTTGGACGTAATTCCACTTATGCCATTCATCCATGAGGGGTGCGATTATATAATATACGAGGCCTATACCCCACCTACGGTGGGGTCGGGCTCGGCCTGCGGCGCATGGTCGGTTTCAGATTACGGGGTGTGCTTATGCTCTTCGTTGGCACATTAAGTACTATGGGCGCTTGATGAGGAGGTTCCAGATTCGATCCCTGATATGAACCAAAAAAATATTCTTAAATTGGTTCTGGTCCGGGTATTCTGGGTATTGCCCTCAGAATTATCGTTACTCTGGTATTCATAGCACAGGAAATTCCCTACTTTGAAATCAGAAATTTGGAGTGATTGTCTGGCATTTTTTCCTTAAACTTCTCTTTTTGGCATAGCTTCCAAGAAAAAAGAATCTAACAGAGAGACGGTCGAGATACAACAACGCTATAAGTATCTTATTTCCACTACATCGGGAAATATGCCTTACATTTTGAACAATTGTGAAATCTTGTACCGTAATAGAGTCCCCGTATACTACCTACGTAAGGTGGCGTGCAGACGCTTCTGGCTTCGCCCTTCGCTACACCTCAAAAAAAAAGTCAAAAAGTAAATTTTGACTGCAAATTATTATTAAAAACCCAGAGATCCTCACATGCCGATTTTCAGCTGAATTAAAGCAAATTTCCGTCTGCCGTCAAAAAGTTTGTATGGTAGCCATATTAAAAAATGGCGAAAAATAAATTTTGACTGCAAATTATTATTAAACACCCATAGACTCCCCACATGCCGATTTTCAATCGAATTAGAGCAAATTTTCATCTGCCGCCAAAAAACACTTCTATGGCAGCCATATTGAAAAATGGCGAAAAACCAATTTTGACCACAAATTATTATCAAGCACTCCTAGAGACCCCCTATATGAAACTTTTCAAACGGATCTGAGCATTTTTTTTCTGCTGCCAACAAACGCCATATTTGAAAAACGGAATTTGAAAAATCACTTATATGGCAGCCATATAAAAAAATGGCGAAAAGAAATTTTTGACCCCAAATTATGATTAAGGACTCCTAGAGACCCTCGCATGCCAATTTTCAGCCGGATCGAAGCAAGTTTTTCTTCGGCCTCCATTTTGAAATCGCCATCTTGAATTTTTTTTAACCCAGATAGTTCACCAGTGTTACCCTCTATGACATTCCTTCGAGCGCCTCTTACCTATCTCTAATGGTTTCCGTGATAGGAGACTTTTAAATTTGTATGGCGGCCATCTTGTTTATTTAAATTTCGAACATTTTTTACTACCCGCGAAAATTTACCAGGGTGTATTTCATAAAAATGCACAAAAATCCCCCCATGTATTATAGTTTTTGCAGGTCGGTGACCACTCGTTTACATTTTCCACATTCAGGTCTTCTCATATTTGATTCTTTGCCTTGGAGCCTATCCGCGTACAACGGTATAAATATATTTAAGTATGCTTTCTATTTTTCTAAGTGAGTCGGGATTTGTAGCTTTATATAATTGTAAATCACACGACAGTTAATACAATTATTCAACTTAGTTTCCCAAAAGTGGCTTTTCGAACTAAAACACTTTATTAATCAAAGTGCGATTTGTAACTGCCGTCGAGTTTATATAAACGTATTCGACGGAGGAAATTTGAAATGTCGTATGGAACATTTGCCCTTACTACAAAATGGCCCTTACGACATATTAAATTTCCACCGTCGATATAAAGGTAATCATTTTTTTGATGTATCGAATTTTAAAATGTCGTGACGGACATAATAATAATGTTTATTTCACAAAATAATTTTCCAACATAATAATGAAGTCTTCCTGAGATCGGTATAACCTGTGACAGGAGCCAGTAGTGTCCTCTCCCAAATTTGACAAGGCTTAGAATTTATTATAAATATAGTACTATTTGTAATAATCATTATACTATAATTATAATAAGTTGGATACATATTAATATGCAAATTGTGATAAATATGCTTGTATGGATGAGGGAGTGTGTGTTGTGTGTGCGAGTCACATTTTGACATAAACGACATTTTGTCATACGGAAAATGTCTCTTACAATATTTCAAATGTCTACCGTCGTCGTATAGTTTCGATTAAAATTTAAGTACCAAGATAATGAGACACTATTGTGGATTGTAACTTTGAAGGCTAAACAACCTTTTTGGTTCTGTAGTCCCATTGGTTGAACGAATTATCTAATAAGCATACTACGCATAAGAAATAAAACATACCATCTTCTTTTTCTTCTTAGACGGCCAAACTCCAGTCTTCTTATACTCTTCCAGTTTTTGCAAGCGATTCAGTTCTTTACGTTTGTCTCTATATGGTATACTATTAAAATCTATCTGTTCCTTAGGGCCAATGAATTGTTGTTTATGTTCTTCCTTGATTTCGGGCATTAGAGGCAGTTTTAAGAGGCCGTAGCTCGTAGCTATATGACCTAATGGTAGCTCTTTGAATTGCAATAACAGATTGCACTCGTGTTTAGTGTAGGCCCGCATGTGGGAGACGAACGCTCGCTGTCCTTTGTCTAGGATTGACCGGTCTTTCTTTTGTTGATCGTGGAGGATTGCCAGTAACTGGAAAGATTGTTATTGTTAGAGGTATTTTTTTTATAATATCAAGTGTCGGGACGAACAAGTCGTGCGCCTGATGGTAAACGACACGCCTGTCCATAATAGTTGCAGTGCCACGCATAGCTTTAAATCGCAAAGACCTGAAGTGCACTGCCTCTTCGCCCTTCACCCTGAGACATAAGTTGCAAAGTCCCATGGGCCTATAATTTCACCAGCGCCCTTACCCTTCAAAACCGGAACGCAGTAATGCTCATATTACTGCTTGGCGGCAGAAACAGATAAGGGTACGTACGTATATGGAAAAAGAGCTAGGTTACGATGACAACTTAAGACAGACATCTTCGCATAAACTCCACAGATGGAAGAATTGCAGATAATTATGTGTACTATAATAGATACCAACGATACAAACGAACAAGTACGACTTATATTTCTTTTTTTATTTAATATGATATATTTCAGGATATCCTAGTTTAGGAGTTAGGGGATCACTTTTGAATGGCATTGTTTTTCTTTATTAAATAAATTATGATTATTATTACACTCCGTGTATAGATCCACACATCCGCATAATCTCGCAGTGCACACACAGTAGTTGCATAGTGCAGGACGCAGATGTGTTAATGGTTGAAAACATCATCATACTTCCATAATCGAGATACCATTCCGCGATGATGGTATAAATATATGAAATGTAAGTACTGCTTTTGACAAAGGATATTTCAATATAGCACGAGTGGATTGTACATACCTGAATAATACCTTTTTTTTTCAAATTATGTTTAAGCAAAATTAAAATAACAATGTGACAACCCTACGCTCCAAGCGAAGTGTACCTGCATTGACACGCTGAAGAGGCGAGATGGCTTGTCTTATTATGTTACTTACAAGGGCAATACTGTCCTTTACCTTGTCAAACCAAAACTGGAGATAGCATGTGTCTTGCTGTGTAGGCTGGCCGACAAACTGACAGACAGTTTTCATGTTGTTTTGTTTAGCCGATAATGTGACGCGACAGAGTGGCCTATAAAGTTTGGATCTGCATTTTCCGCTTTTCTTTTCAGGGGTATCAAAGTTAATAGACGTTTATGCAATTATGCGAAGTGTTTTAGTTTGCAAGCCTAAAGAACTTCACACGTATTCATATTAGTTTTAAACATACCTTATGATGTCTGTCAGGACCGTAGCAGGTGGAAGACTGTTGTCTCTGCCTACCCCGATGGGAAAAAGGCGTGAAGTATATGTATGTATGTATGTATGTATGTATGTATGTATGTACATACCTTATCCCGTAATTTGTGACTGATCTTAATCTCGTCTTTTGATTTCCGCCAATCTTTGAGTTCAACCTTCTGATTACTCTTAATAAAAGTCACGTAGGTGTCCTCCGTAGGCAAGAGCGGTAGCAGCGAGCAGCCGGCGGCGCCGCCGCGCGCCGTACGCCCTACGCGGTGAACAAACGAAGAAGGGTTGGTTGGCGGCTCCCACTGAAGAACCCATTCCACTTCAGGTATATCTAGGCCTCTGGAAAAGTTTAAAAGTTGTCATATTTCATATAACAACTTTACAAAAATCTTTAAGAAAGCAGAAGAAAAAGGTAAAAGGCAAAAGAAGACCCAAAAGAGCCGTATTTTCTATAAATATTAGTTAGGTTACTTGATTTTAATAACATTAGATATGTTACATGATTTTAATTGAAAACTGGTAAAATAGATCAGAATTTCTGGTGAAGACATTAGTACGAAACAAAGTGAGAATGACGAGTCAAAAGAATTAAAGAAAGATTCAAAATTCCAAAGTAAGTGGTCAGGAACCAGAAAAAAGGTGATAAAAAGGTGGTATGACGATAGAGGAGAGTCGCATCGTCACAGCTTGTTCTTAAACCTTTACGAAAAATTATTTAAAATAATAAATTTAACAGAGACCGTTATGTGTTTTTAATGCCCATCTACAATTGTCTACTCAATACTCAGCCACGTAGTTTTAACATAACATAAATTTTTCACAACACACGAAAGATTTGAAAATGGAAATTTGGAAGGACTTTATTTTGCATTATAAAAGTTTTACATGCTCTACATTTACGGTGGACTAAATAAGTATTATAAACCAATTTACATACCTGGCCAATAAATCTGTACACAACAAAATAGTATCCTCAGATTCTCTAAATTTCTCCAGAATTTTGCTTCTCTTATTTTTCATCTTGCCATGTATTGCAAATACCTTTATGTCAGGCAAAAATGCTGGCAACACATCAGCCCAATAATCTACACACGCACAAGTTGGCAGAAAGAACAAACCCTTTGCTATTTTACGGTTTCTTATAAAGTTCAGAAGAAAGAGAAACTTATCCTGTGGTTCAACAATTACATAATAATTTTCTAATAAAAGTGGTGTGCTTATTGTAGATTTTTCTTTAACGCTAACAACTACAGGGTTTCTTAATCCCGCGCGTACAAGGTCTTGAAGCTCTTTGGTTTGTGTGGCTGAGAATAAACTGGTGCGACGTTGACGTGGTATGTATTGGAGGATTGTGGTAAGAGTTGAACTGAAGCCTAGATCTAACAGACGATCTGCTTCGTCTAGTACTAAGAATTCCTGAAAAACGTAGAAGTGTAAATGTAATATACTTATAACAATAATACACAATATCACTGTACATAAAGCTACCGCCTATCATAAAGTTAACAAACCTAATAAGTCACTTATTTTCAGCAAGACAAACTTACAAGTTCTTTAAGTCTTCCCGCAAGATTAAGTTGTTTCCTCTCCGACAACAGGTCCATGAGACGACCAGGAGTACAGACAACAATATGTGCACCATTGTTGAGGCTCTCAACATCAGCTTCTATTGGTCTACCGCCAACCATTAGCGCTAGGGTCGTATGGGACAGTTCTTGCTCCTGAAGAAACTGTTCTATGACCTAAAAATATTTCAGTTTTGAAAATACTGGTAAACATACAAACTTGATCTCCCGCGCAATCATTATTGCCAGTGCAGACTCAACAAATTGACGAGCGACGGGAGCCTACGAATTTGCGTGTGAATATTGTAAAATTTTATTTACCAAAATAAATTACCATTTGGAACCATTTATCCATCACAAAAATACAAGATTTATGCTATGAAAAATGTAGTTATAAGATCGAACATATGTATATTATAAGTCATCAAGACTTGACAGGTGAATATTATACACATTTCTTATTTCACTTTTGATATAGCATGCATTTAAAATTAAAATACAATAGCATAAATAACAATTAGAATTTAACTATAAGTTATAAAAATAGGAAGTAAAAAATATAACTAACGTTAATTTATTCAATTTACTAAAATCAATTACACTGAAATAAATAAGTGATAAAAGAACAATTGCGGACATGATGATAACTCACGTTCCGTCTCTGGACACAAGATTGGAGCATTGTTTAGAAACCGTTTTACTTCTTACAATATCGACATTATCGAAAAACTAACAAAGAAACGACGTGTATTATTTATTGACGGCTTTGGTGGAAGATACCTACCGCATGGCGACATATTTGATGTACCCAAGAGCCTTGGACTCAAGGCTTGGTAAGAAATGTAGACCATCATTTTCAATCAAAAAAACGTACATTCGCAGAAAGGTACCTTTTTAGTTAATATATAGCGAGTAAGTCGTCAGTAACGTCCATCGCTTTCGATAACAACACCCCTTTGAAATTATGACTTGCTGAACCGAATTTCATATATTCGGTCACAAATAGAGAGTAATAAAGTTGGCCTGCAGAATTGAAAGTATAGGTATTGGAGGGCTTATGTCTTCGTTCATTGTTTCGAGTCGCTTTTGCCTCCCACCAACCTGAAGAAGTATTAAAATAGCGCAGGCGTCTAGATGCCTCTTGAGCACTCCTTAAGCTGATTACACACAGGTCTTCAGCCGCCGCGGGGCCGAAAGAGTTGCGGCATCACTCCACAGCATCAGTGGCGCGATTGTAGCCCATACGATGTGATCAACTGAAATCGTGCATAAGCAGATGACCGTGGCAGCGTTCGGCGTCGCCGCCGCCGCCGCGGTTTCTAGTAACGCCGCGCCGCTGCCACGGTGCGCGTATCAAAGTGTGTAAACAAATGCAAGGGCGACTATTACACAAGTGTGGTGCCACTGTTGTTACGGCACCGTGTGTAATCAGCCTTATAGCGGAGATGTTGAACACCATGCTTCCGTTTACCTTCTGCCATCTCTGAGTAGAAGACAACTTTGGGTAACCAGTGGTCTGTCGTACGAAAGAAGTGCCCGCACCAGCTAAGTTGACGCCACACGACTAATGCTTTCATGAAATACATGGCCGAACGGTGTAGGGCATCCATGTTAGGATCGCCGATTTGACCAAAGACATAGACGTGGCGAGTGCGAAGCATAGCGCAGTAGCTACCTAGTGTCGTTATTTATACTTTAATAAGAAAATGCGAAGGAAAAGAAGAATTTGGTTGCCGAACATGTGAAGACACTAACGTTTGTTAGAATGGTGAAATTAGTAAACGACGCCTTTGTAGCGGCCGCGCAACCTATTTTCACGTCGCGTCGTGTCGCGGCGCTGGTGGGTTTGTTCCTGGTAATTAATTAACGGAAACAATCGGAGGGTAGGTATATAAGTGTGAAGTGTATGGTGAAATCATTCAAAAGATGAGTGCCGTAATCCTTATACATAGGTGTCGAAAGTGTCAAATAGATCGAAAAGAGGTAATTTGCAACAAATGTGTAAAACAAGTAAAAAAAATTACGGTTTGTCTGTGTGTGACGAAAACATTCTCAAAGGTAACTACGATGTTTGTTAAATATCTAATGTGAAACCTGCAAACACGCGGGCAAAACAATTAACCTTAAAAAAAGTTGTCCGTTACATGAGATACAAAATAAATATTATATTTATTTTACACAGCTTACAGGAACAAAAAAAGGCTTGATGATTTTGAAGACTTGTCTAAAAATGTTGTCCTGAACGCAAACTGAAGTCATTTTTGGGAATGATAAATTATTGTGGAAATTTAGCTTCAAATCAATCATCAAGTTGTTTAAATCCATCATTAGTTATTATTCATATAAAATCATTACTTATTATTTAAAAAAATGTAAAATTACAGTAAAAAGAACAACATGATGCATTTTATAAGATAAAACATGATGACTGAGCACTTGTTGGTACATTAGAGTCCCATGCTGAAGCTGGTGATATTGGTATAGTGGTGATTATTTACAGAACCATTAGGAGATGCAGTTCTATGCAAAAAATTCTTGCATATACATATGTTAGAGATGAGACGAGACAATTTTCTCCGCGAGAGAATATTCTCGGTTCGAGAATATTCTGGAATATTCTTTTTAACTGAGAATATTCCGAGAAGATTGAGAATTTATAATTAGAGATTTTATGATGGAAAATAATACCTACCTACATAATATTTTTTTTATTTCAATATCCAAAATGTAAATAATAGTATATATTATTATGTTCTATTATTATGTAAAGATCTCAACTAAATAGTTTCCAGGGCTTGTTTTTGGTTTCATAATTGCACTTAACTGCTAAAACACGCGCCCCATTGCAAGCAATATGCTTCCGCGCCTAAAAACCACAGCAAACTTTATAACTTCAGATTAAAGTTTTGTCATAAAGGTTGTGGAAGCAGAAGTGGAAATAGGTGTGAAAAAGCGTATGGAACTTCTGCAGTTGCGGGAGCAGAAGCAGAGGTCTTTTACATCACTACTTTATTTTAGACTGATTAAAGTGTGTATTCAAAAGAAACTGATTATAATGTTCTTTTTAATCATTTAATTTCTTAGGTATCTAAATTATAAAGGCAGTTATTGAGATTGTTTTTTAAATACATTTCCCATTAAAATGTAAATTTGAATAAACGTTGGTAAAACTGATCACTTAGGTACTTTGTTTTTTATGGAAATCCTAATTTAAAACAAACATTTCAAATTAACAAGAATTTACTGAGAAAATATCCAAGAATATTCTTGTTCACGAGAATTTACCAAGTTTTTACATTGCAGAGCAAGTTACATTTTACATTCACTTCATTAAACATTGGAATGTACTCAAATCTATTAGTCTCATTCAAAACCAAGTTAAGAAAGTCACTCATTTTTTAAATTCTGGTAAAAAAGAAGGTTCTCGAGAACTTAACAGCAAAGTTTCCACTGTCAGAATATTCTCGAGAATATCCCATCACTAATATATGTTCACTTCTTAAGGCAGATCAATATCATAGATCTGTAATAGGAGTGGGCTAAGGATGCTTCCTTGAGGGACACTATGACATTTCTTATGATTTTGACCAAATTTGTGTTTCTTGGTTATTGGTCAGTTTTGTTATATCCACATATTGCTGTCCCCCTTTGATATACCTGTTCAACTATATAAAATCACACCCCATATGCCACATATTTCACACTTGTTTGATTATCTAGTATGGGAGACAAAGTCAAATGCTTTAGTCACATCAAAGAAAATTTGTGTTGCAAATAAACTACTGTTCAAATACTTGGTGATTCTATTAACTAAATGAAAAAACAGCAATTGTTGTAAGTTTGCCTGTCTGGAAGCCATGTCGGTGGATGCTTGACACCACCAGATTGTTTGACAATGTATATAAGTGGTTGAAGGCCATTTTCATACCCTGACTTTCTGAACACGTTTATATGATACAAACAGCTAACATACAAACGATGTAATAATAAAATACATGGAACATTTAAAAAAAATTGATTAATCAGTTTTAAATCAAATAAGTATGAAAAAATCCTTTTTGTCATTTTTTTTTTTTTATAAATAAATATTAGACAACATCACAATCGTTGCTCTGATCCTAAAGTAAGTAGCTATAGCACTTGTGTTATGGAAATCAGAAACGACGACGGTACCACAAACACCCAGACCCGAGACAATATAGAAAGTTCGTTTTCTACACTGACCCGGCCGGGGATCGAACCCGGGACCACAGAGATGGCAACACCACGAAAACCGGTGTGCAAGCCACTCGACCACGGAGGCCGAGATTAAGGGTCAACTAATTTGATGAGAGTTAGAAAGCACGAAATTTTAATACATTACATTAAATATGAATAAAGAGTATCTTTTAAAATGTTTACCTTAGAGATCTGAGAAGCTAATTCTCTGGTAGGCGATATGATGACGGCATAAACAAAATCTTTCCGCAACGGCTCGTCCTTCCGCTTCTTAAGTAACATCTCCAGCATCGGCACAACAAACGCTAACGTCTTTCCGGACCCTGTAACTGCTTCGGCGACCACATCTTTACACGATAGAATCAGCGGAATCACTGCCGCCTGAATCGGCGTCATAGACTTGAAACCTTGCTTATTTATGCAACTCAACACAGGTGCTGATAAGCTTGGAGTAATTCTATCCCACTTTTTGTTTACCATTTTCAATTATATTGCAAATTTTCAACAAAAAGAAAAGAACCAATACACGCGCAGATCTGACATTGTCCGACATTCGTGAAAACATGTGGTTTTGACATTTACGTTTAATATGTTCGGATACAAAACAAAACATTACGCTTTATTAATGTTGTCATGGAAAAATTTCCATTTTGAAAAAACAATATTTTTCATAAAAATAAACATTTTCCCGGAAATTTTTCCACATTTGACGTTCACGCCTTTCAAAACTTGAAGTTACTGAACGACAATGATGGAGCCAACAAGTGGTGGTGGGTGGTTTTGTTTGTCGGAGCTTTTTTCGTTGTGGCAAAATACTTTTAAAAACTCGTTCTCGTGGCTTTTAGATATACTATGCTAAATAAAACTTCAGACGATATTTCCAAACGTAGAACTTATTATGAGCCTCCCAAATTATAACATAGTTTTTGTAATGTATCCGACCGGTTTCTTTTTTTTTACCGTTATTTCAAGTACGTTTAAAAGCTTTCTTTCGTCTTTCAGTATGTTATCATTACAAGTATAGCGGAGAGTATAGTCAACGCTGTAAAACATCCACATATCTTTATGTATAACATTTTACAAATAATAACAGTGATACACGAAGTATTACGTACACAGGTCGAAAATTGAGCCAAAAGAAGAGGTGAAGTTAGTAAATTATTGACATTTCGCTTGTGGTTTCTAATCGGACCCAAATCAATATGGCGATATGTTGACATGACAAATTGACAGCTGTGTTTTGTCTTTGTACGAAAATTGTAATGTTTCTTTTACATCTCCAGCTTAATAAGAATAAAATTTAACAATGACACGGCCGTTTGGTACCAATGACAAACGTTTTTCAATCGACGACGCATTCGAAGAGGAGACAGACGAAGCCATCAAAGTTTACGGCGCAACTGGTGATAGATCCCCATTACAGAATAAATTAAAGAATGGAACGGATTATTTGGCCAGGTGAGACCAATTTCATGTTTCATTCATCAGTTTGTAGCAGTGCGTAGGCATTTACGAAGGTTGGACGTCCGTTCTTTGTGTGAAACTGCCATGATGTTCTTGACCTTTAATGAGTCAGTTTACCTTAGTGGGGCAAAGGCGGTTGAACTTCTAAGCGCAAGTGGTTACTCACACCCCGCAGTTTCTCGCTGAAATACTGCTCTAATTGCTTGTTAATGTTTACTAATCAATTGGTTCAGCAACCTACAATACTCGCTGTTTTCCCACTGAGACAGTAGAAAGTTTATGATTACGCCGTGCTATGTATAAATTAACGTCCAGCAATACCATTATCCATACTAATAAATGTACATATATTTTTCAGCATTGCATGTTTCGAGTCATACGTTATTCAATTTTCCATTTTTTGCAGCAAAACTTATAAGTGTACTGAAGACACAACATCTAGAGATTCTGATTCCCTCATACATGAGTATGTGGAAGCTGCTCAATCCACGTACTGCTGGAATCATCCCAAAGTCAGGGAGAACTGGAAAACAGTGTGTGCAGCTGTCATACTCCTTCTTGTAGGAGTAGGACTCCTTGGCATGGGTGCTTACGCAGTAGCTGAACCTGAGAATGGGCTACAAGGTGCAGTTTTCTTTGTGGCAGGTATGATATGTTTTGTCCCAGGAGCATATCATGTAGTCTACATCTGGCTGGCAGCTAGAGGTCAGAGAGGGTATGACTTCTACCACCTACCTTTGTTCACCTGATTTGTTTACTTAATTAGTCAATTTAAGGTTTTCTTGTAAGCAATGGAGATGTAGAATTAAAGTGAAAATTATTGAGGAGTATGAATATCAGTCTGATTGGGTGCTGACAGGTATGCTCTCTAAATATTAAAATGTAAAATAGAAAATTAAAAAAGTGTATAGGCAAAACACAGCATTAAATTATTAAAAAATAAAATGAATTTCAAAAATAATGAAATGTAAAGTTGACAATACAGTAAAAAAGATATTTATTTATGCACAAATGTTGCAAAATCCATAAAAGTGTGGTTAATTAAATGAATTTTGAAATCTGTCCAGCTTGTAGATCTTTAAAATAAATGTTTATGATATAAACAGTTTAAAAATAAATGTGTTAAGTTGATATATGTTAATAATTATTGATATTAATACCATAAACAAACAAGTTTTAGGAGCTGTTATCTCACTTGACTTGAATAATGTCTTATTCATCAATATGAGGCAGGTGTGTGACATACATAATATTTATAATATTAACAGACTATTGAAGTGCCTAGATAAGAAGTAGCAGTAAAAAAACTACATTTAAAGCTTAATAGTTAGGAACATTATAAGAAAATGGTTTAAATTTTATTTATAAGCAGTTCATTTTGGATCAACTCCAAATTTGCATTATAAATTGTAATATTTTTATGCTAATTGCAGTCATTTCAAGAACAATGTGTATTTATTTTGTATTTTTTTATAAATTAGTGTTGTCTTGTGTTTATTATTAATTTTATTTATCACCTATTGAATGTACGTGTTAGTAATGTAGTGTAGGGCATAGTTCTCTTCATAGTTCAAGTATCAGACTTGAGTTATATAGTTCACTATTTATAAACAAGCAGAATTTTTATACCATTGTTGTTTCTGGAAGACTACTTGGTTGGCATTACTAACATACCATGCTATAACCTGTAATTGGTTATAGTGTCCACCATCAAAGTCGTTATAGAAGCTTATAATGTTAGGGATTAACAGAATAATAATTACTGTAATTTTAAAGACAGTGTGTCAAGTCAAGAGGAATTAGTTTCAATGCGTGTGAATAAAAATAGTAATCTTCCAAAACATAGTTCATTGTTTTGATAGACCAGCAGCACCATCCTATATAATTGTTCACAACAACACTTCATGAATATAATTTATATTGAACAATGTTTTTCTATGCTACCTTTCTTGTTTTCAAACAGGTAGTTATAAGCTAAGTCTTAATATTATTGTCAGTTGTGCATTTTTATAATAATTAGCTGTTACACAAACCTTACGACCTAAGGACGAATCTAGTGGAAAATATGCTGCAAATTAAACATGGCCTCTTTACACGTTAAAATAAATTGTGAGCGCTATATCCAGAAGTAGTAGTATTACTTGTCATTATTGAATAAGCATTTAAGGATCTCAATCCTTAGCAAGTGGGAGTGAAACAGGAAAGTTAGAGACCAAAGCATGCAGCAATTTCAGTAGTGTTTTTTCAGCTGGAGTTTTCCCTAATCTAATGTGTAGTATCTTGTAAGTATGCAACATTTTACCATTTATTACTTCATAGTTGATAATTTCGAGAACAGTCATTTTATGTTCATTGTTTAATATGTTATGGCAGCTTGAATGTAACTCCGATAAGGCAATTTATTGTTGTAGTTTACTTTACCTAAATTTTAGTTCTGAGATGATAAATGGCTAATTGTGCAATATAGAGTACTGTTCATTCAGAGCTTAACAAAAAGCATGGTCCATTAAACCGGATCACAGTAATTTAAGGATAATACAGGTCATATAAAAGTGAAAAGTATGCTAATGATGCTATCAGTGAGATATTTCTTTTATTTATTTAATTTTATCATGCTGTTCAATAGAACCTGTACTGAAACAGCTATATGAATTGTTTACTAATTTTTGTACGTGACGGAGCGACTGACACTTTTTTTGTAATCTATCAGAATTTTAATTATAAAGATGTGGGACTAGCATGAATGTTTTCAGGTTGTGTTCAAACGGTCACTTGCAATTTCATGGTAGCCCTTCACACTCATAAATTGGTTGTTTTGAAAGCTGTAAATACTTTACTTATTAATAAAATAGTCAACTTATATATTTGTCTTACTTATTCAATTTCTCTGTGTTATATATTTTATTAATGTATATTTGTTGCTGAGTCAGCCGTGACCATTGGGAATATAGAGCACAAAATGTTGATTTGTTTGCAACAACCACTATGTGCAATTTAAAAATAGTTTCATTTTGAATCACAACAATCTAAGATATTGATAATAGATACTGTCTACACAAAGCTGCAAAATGGGAGACTGGTGTTATAGATTTGACTTACAGGTACCCCTGGCAATAATAGAGTAAAACCTAACAAAAAGTAGTTCTTCTAAAACATAAAAAGTGCCAATATCTCGAAAATCAAACCACTTTTACTAAGGTCAAATTATTGTTTTCTGCTAGATATAGAGCTCACCTACCCAGTGTCGATGTGTCGTGGTATTTTTGGAACACCCTGTATAAGAAGCTTGGTTAAAAATATAAATCAAGTAAAAAAATTATAAAAAAAAATGCTGCATGTCTTTTAAACTTATATTAAATGTTTCTTAGCAAATCTCTTCAATTTAAAGTTTTGCAAGAACCTTAGTTCACCATTCCAATTTCTTAAAACTTCCATTTGTGACTGATCCATGAGGTCAGGCATCTCCATACCACAAGTTTCAAATTCATCTAACTCCCTCTTCTTTGTTATATTGATGATATCTTCCCTACTGGCATGCTGACGAGTCTTTCTCTGACCTACAGAATTCTTCAGCATTATCTGTTCCAGTTCCTCGTCAAATCTAGCTAAATACGTTTGAATAAGCTCTAACACTTGTTGCTTGGTTAAAACAGTGCAGTTTTCCGGTATTCTTTCCTTAAACCAGAGAATTTTCTCTCCAGTCATGTTCTGTTTGATGTGAGTACCAAGTTTCTTCTGATCTCTTTTTTCACTTTTCTTCATTTGCTTTGCAAGATTCAACGTTTTTCTACTGTTCGGATGTTTTAATTTGTCTATATTGCCCTTTGCTTTCGGCATTCTGTTGGGTTTCTCGGTATTTTTCTATAGTTTTAGAAAAATGCTGCCTCGTGCTCGTGTTTTTAAAGTTTTCTTTTTTTTTGCATTGGCTTGGCGTTTGGAATGTTAAAGAATTAGGGTAGAGAGTATACTTCAATAGAAACGTGGTGAAAATACGGTGGAAATCATACACGAATATATAAAAATTATTTTGAAAATTAATACAGTATGTTTTTATATAATCCGCTCACAGAATAAAAGACGTTGGTTTACATTTAATTTTAAAATATAATTTTATTTCAAACTTTCCTTGAAGCACGACGTTTGCAGTGAAATTTTGCTTGACGTAACGTTGCTAAACTTTGCTTTAGTTTATTGACAAATAATCAAGAAAGCAAATACATGGATTTGAAGAGTAAATTCGGTTCAATGTTTAAAATCGTTAATCGTTATGATTGGATTAGAAGAACATAATTTCGAAGGCTTTAATTTATGTTACACTTTTAAAAATATCTTTTGAAATTTTATTTAGCGTGAATTATAAAATAAACTTGAAGTCACAACAGCGAAAGAAATAGGGATATTCGTTGAACATCGACGTATCGAATCCATTTGATGTTTATCGTACGATCATCGGATTGATTCGATGTATCGACAAGAAGAAATTCTATTCGATGCATCGATATTTTTGAATAAAAACATTGATTCATAGAAAAACACTAACTCTGGCGTGTCTCTGTGTTTCAATTTGATATTGTAAGTCATTTAGAGATTGTTTTAATTTTTTTTTCTGTAAATGAATAATTGAATATATTGTATCGAACTTATTTGTCTATGTTAGACAGTTTACATAATCGCAAAAAACATCCTTGAGAAAAAAAAAATAAAAGAAAAAACATTTGAAAAATGTTCGGAAAAATATTCATTTTTCTGAACAATACGATTTTTTTATATGATAATTTTTCCATAACCCAACGTATATCATAAACCCTCTTTGCAAATATTGTCGGGTAGTTTCACGAAAATTTCCAAATTGTGGAAATTTCCCGAAATATTGGAAAAATTTGAACAATTTGGAAAATATAATTTGGATGGTCTATATTATATATTCTACGTTTAGGAATATCTTTTGAAGTTTTATATAGCGTGAATTATAAAATAAACTTGCATAGTTAGCTAAACAAGTTCATTTTATAATTCACGCCTATAAACATATAGAAAAACGAGATTAAAAAATCTCACAACTACATCACCACTACCGTAACATCAACTTTTGACAAGTGTCAACGTCAAATGTGGAAAATAAACGGAAAAGTACTGGAAAAATTACCGGAAAAATATTTATTTTTCTTACGAATTAGATTTTTTCAAAATAGAAATTTTTGAAAATGAAAACACTCCACTGATATCATTAATGCTAATTTACCTACTGTCAAGCCAAGAAAATAAGAAAAAACAACATAACCTAACTTAAATGTTTGTTGTGGTACAAAAAACTCTTTGTTTAAAATAAAACTATAAATACACCACAAAATCGTATTAAAATGATCAAGAGACCTAAACCAGGTGAAGATGAAGACGATCTTCTCCGTATGCAAGAAGAATTTTTAAGAGAAAAGAGTAAAAACAACTATCAACCAGCTGCCCAGGTGACCAATTTACGTCGTAGTGAACCTACGAAGAGACCCAATACCTCGGACTCAGCTACACGGAAACCTTCAAAATATGCACAATCTAAAGGCCTTAAAAATCAGGAGAAACGAATGAAAACTGAGGTAGGTTCTAGCCGTAGGTCTTTAGTAGGGGACATTTTCGAAAAAAACGCTCAAGAACAAACTCCAAGTCAAGAAAACGAAGATGACAACGTCTATTACCCTAAAATAATACCTAAACTTCTGGGAGATATCGTTGAAAAAAATGTTGACCGGTTTGAAGATTTAAATGTAACAAAAATGCCTTTACAAGGATTTCCGGTTGCTACGAAAAGGGATCTCAACATAGCACCTGGCAAGAAGAGTATTCAGAGTCAAGAGTTCGAGAAAAAACATAAAAAACCTGGGGAAATGGAGGTTGATGAAGCAGGTTCTTCCAATGTTAAAATTTCCAATTATAAGAATCTACCGACAAAAAGTTACATACTGTCTTCTAACGAAGCTAACGACATTCACAACGAAAACATAAAATTATTAAATACAATGTCTGAGAACGAAATATTGGAGGAACAACAGAAGTTACTCTGCAGTTTAGACCCTAAGTTGATAGAATTTATAAAAGCTAAAAGGAAACTATCTGCCACTGAAACTAAATCTGCCCCATCAAGTGGGAAAAGGCTACCAGATACTGACAATTTTAAACAATATGTTGAAAATAAAATGGACATAAGTGAATCTATGGACCCTGGACAAACTTCTACATATGATAATGATTCTCTTTGGGAAAATGATGTTTTATCTCACCCATTAGTTAATAAATGGCTACACTTTGAATCTTTGGAAAAGGATAAGTTAGAATGGATGAAGGGTATAGAAGAAAGCAAAAAAATCAATACTGAGGAACCCTATGAAGCTAGGTTTGATTTTAAAGGATATTTACTGCCCTATACAATGGAATATACGGAAAACACAAAGACATTGTTCCATCATGGTGAAGAACCACATAGACCTGGTTATTCTCTCACTGAACTCTTTGAATTGTCCCGTTCAACAATCACACAGCAAAGAGTTATGGCCTTGAATACTTTAGCAGGAGTTTTAGAATACTACAGTGCAGGAACTTACAAAGATGTGTTGGAGATTCCTTTGAGTAAATTTTTTTTTGTTATCAGAATAGCAATGGATGAAAATAAAACCATAATTTTAGAGCCAGCTCTGAAAGCAATGAGAAATTTGTTGTATAATAGAATAGATGAGGCCTGTCTCGATGCCTTGCTGGGATTTGAGGAAGGAACAAAACAACCATGTTTAGAAAATGATAAATCAGAAATAAAAGAGTTGGAATCCAAAGAATCAGAGCTAAAAGACTTTCACTTAGCTGAAATAGATATTATTGCCGCTTTATTGCGAACTGATATTCTGCAAAGATTGTACTATATTTTAGAAACTGTCCAACCGAGTTTCAACTGTGTTCAATATGCATTGCAAATATTAACGAGACTGGCAAGGGATTCAGTAGAAACAACTATGAAAATAGTACAAGCAGAAAATTTAATGCAAACAATTATTAAGTGCTTTGTTCCAATAACAAGCATAAACTTTGCATTTAATCCTCAGATTGTGTACAATGGAAAACCAGTACTAGCTGCAATAAAATTGCTAAGGATTCTGTCATTACAGTCTCAAGAAATAGGTCACTTGTTAGTAACAAAATATAATATCCTGAAAGCAATATCTGAGTATGTCAGCTCGGGAGTGGATGGAACTTATGGATTAAGAATACAGATTGAAGCATTCTGTATACTTTCTAACTTATTAAATTTTGGTGTTGGTCTCGAAAATGCACTGTCATTATCTCCAATAGTAGGAACATGTCTGCACAAACATGTACAGGGAACAGATATCTTTATCAACTCCTCAGTGATATCAGCTACTCATTGTGCAGTGATTTTGCAATTTGTGAATAAGTTGCTAAGCTGTGATTGGATAAATTTACATAATTACAAACAAGTTGTATATCCCCTTATAAAGGAGGGTACACAAAAATGGATGGCACAGCTAGCTCAGTCTGAAAATTACACTTGTGCACATTTAAGATTAATGTGTGCTGCTTTAGATTGCTGTAAAACAATGCTACTAGCTGAAAAAATGCAAATGAAGTTTCTCAATGATTCCTTAAAGAATTTGGTAACCTCAAGAGGATATAAAGAGATTACAAAGAATCTAACAACCAGTTCAAATTTGCTATCAGGAATTGAAAACAAAGATCTTCACCTGGTCAAAAATTTAATGAGTCTTGCAGGGTCAGTGATTGATTCAGCCCAAAAAGTCTTGCCCCTGTTAAGTGTACTATCGCCTATCCCATTCTTGGCTTCTCTATTTAATTTACTAACCCTTGTCACCGATAAAGATATTGCAACAAGCTTTCTTGAGAGCATTTCAACATATCTAAACATTTTAATGAAAAAATCACCAAGTATATGTGATAACTGGTTTACAAGAATAGAAACAGATTTTGTATTCGCAATTGTGAAGTTATCTGTTCAAAATGAAATCCCTGAGTCAAAAAAAGACCTGTTTTATACTGTTGCAAGTAAACTGTGTTACATTCTAAGAATAGATAAGATATATGAGCTTGATTATCTTTTCAACAATGTTGTCTTCAACAAGCAATGGTTCACAGCAGAGAGACTTTTGAATCTTGTTTCTTTATCTGATGCCGACGGATTCTCTAAAGCTCTTACATCCATAGAAGACATCAAAATTTGTTATAGTATGGTTGTTAATTTAAATTACAAAAATACAGGACCCAATGTAGTATTGAGAAAGTGGCAAGAGCCCATATTACCTAGAGATTGGATATATTTGCCAATTCTTTCCTTGTATAGCAGGAGTCAAGAAGTAGATTCAACTCCTACAGTTGTTGGCGATCATGCGAAAAGAGTAGCAGCTCAGAATACTGCCGAAAAAGAATTTATTGTTACTTGCAGTTTAGAATGGATTCTGTTCAATGAGCTGTGCTTTCCAGACCTACTAAATGATATTGAAATAACAGACCGGCTATGTCGAATAATGTGTGTATTTCTTTGCGATAACTCTTTATTCTTGGACAAGAAAATCAAACTTTTATTACAAAAATGCACACAAATACTTTTTAAGAAAAATAACGCTTTTAACTTTGATAAACCACTTGTTGGGCTAAACAACTTTCAAGATTTTTACACTCAATTTCTGGAACAGTTCCAGTCAGTCAGTTATGGAGATTATGTGTTTGCAGCTTGCGTTTTAGTGCCTTTGGCTCAAAGGCATAATATCAAGTGGCGAAAACTTTTGTGGTCAGAATACGCGGGATGTCTAAGAGCTCTTGATTGCCCTGAAGCAATGTTATGCTATGAAATAAACGACTACTTCTATCCCGAAGAAACAGACGAGTCTTTAATAAGATCCTACAGTCAAGCTCTCTCTGGGAATTTGTTAAGACCTAATACGATTTCGTACAGAATTGCTTCTCATCACGTGGAAGCATTCAAGAAACAAATTAACAAAATTTAATTTTGTAAATCTGTGTGATGATGTAAATATAATTGAAATAATAAAATAAGCTTTACATACCAATTGTTTTTCCTCGTCATCCTTGCAGCAGATTCTTTTTGAAAATTGTTCTAGCCCATAGATTATAAAGATATAGCTATAGCAATACAATCGATAGATGTTTCAGTTAATTTCATGTTAAGGAAGACACGCGTTTATTCCTCAGAATTTGACCGGTGAATTTCGGTGATAGATTTCGCTGAACAAATTGTTAATTTTAATGAATTTACAACTGCCCAAACGTAAAAAACTGTTTGAATTTCCCGCTCTCATGAAGTCAATGACATAACATCCACATGAAAGAGAAGGCATAGCTTTTTATCCTAAGAGCGATGAAGATAACAACAACAAAGTCATAATAAATGAACGTAGCGATAATTCTGGCGGGAAGTTTTCATGTTGTCAAACTGACAACGGATAAGTTTGGGGCAGGTGTTTTCTTTGTTATTACTTTTAATTTTACGATGATTTCTTAAAATCATTACCGAATAAACCGCGTTTGCGCTGTACAATGTTTGTAGAAGACATTAGAACCGACTTCTATAACGTATTGCTTGGAAATGTAAGTAAATAATTACCATCCACACGCTAAAGTGCCAATCCGTATTTTTGGTATATAAACTGCAATTTTGTTCGTTTCAGAGAGTGTTACTGCTAGTTCATTACGATGTCGACGCGATATGCACCTGTAAAATCCTTCAAGGGTTGTTTAAGTGTGATAATATTTCGTACACATTGGTACCCGTGGGTGGAATGTCCGAGTTAAAGACAGCGTATGAAGAGAACAATGAGGAGATAAAATATGTAGTGCTGGTGAATTGTGGTGGTACGGTGGACTTGGTAGACATTCTACAGCCTGAAGAAGACGTAGTGTTCTTTGTTTTGGACTCTCATAAGCCTACAGATGTATGCAATGTGTATAGTGATGGACAGGTTAGTTGAAATGTTGTACATAAGGTAGGTAGGTAGGTAGTGCCTAAAACTTGATTAAAATATATTTTTTACAAGTGAAGTAGCACGTAATAATGTGCCAGAAGGCCACACCAATTATCTGGTCTCCAACTAAAGAATTCTGTGGACAAAGAGTGCAACAAAATTCACTCTGGAGCACTACCCAGAAGGCTCAGATCAGAGCCAATTTAGAGAAGTTCTTTTCCTAAATTGGTCCTACCTAGTATCAAATACGGGACACCTTCATGCAGCAGGTACAGTACCCACAGAGGAAACCATGTGCCACAGAGGTCACCTGTGAAAGTCTGTTTTCTCTGCCTACCCCAATGGAAAACAGGTGTGAAGTGTATGTGAAGATATGTTTTAACTTTATTCCCTTTTAATAAAGTGCTAGTTTGAATTTGTATTGTTGTGAGAATGAGCTTAATTTATTCTAAGTAAAACTTTGAGATGGAGAGATAAATAGATAATGGTTTATTTATCACAAAACACATACATGTGATACATAAACAAAAATAAAATAACGAATCCAAAAAACAATAGTACCAAAAAAGTAACACAGCATAAATACAATAGAAGCATTAACACAGGATATCATTATTTTTAAATTTAAAAAAACAAAAGATTAAATAACATAAAGGACGAACACAGAAATATATAAGGCATTACAATAAAAGCTCACCATACATTGCATGTATGCACTGTGGTGATAAAATGGCCATAGCTCAGTGTAATTGCTGCTCAATAAGAGCAACGTATACTGCTATTCTGCAATGCCCGAGAATAGCAGAAAAATTCTTCAGTTACGCCTAGGAAAAACTTTTCAGTAATTCCTAGCTTTTTTGGGTTAGTAAACTTATGAAAAACAAGTAACATGGAATAATGCTCTATGAGTTATGTTTAAACCATGAGGTAGTGGTGATAGTACTTATTTACTTTTGATATCAAAGTCTATACTTTTAATAGAAGGAAGAAATGACTTTTTTATAGTTCTGCAACAAGGTGAAAGGGATTAAGCATTATTTAGGTTGAAAATGGGTTACACCTTGATAATAAAATTAGGGAATAATATTATAATTAAATTTTTACAAACAAAGTTGACTTATACTCTGGCCACTTGGCTCTGGCGCGTCGGCCGCACGTTTCAGTGTAGCACAGTTCATATAAACACGTGCAATACAAAAATTCCCGCGCCCGGAACGCTGCCGCGGCCACCTCTGTGTGGCCTGTGCATTAATGACATGTGACCCCATGTATAATTAATTTCCAACTTGAGTATCGCTCCGCCTTTTTTACCTTAAAACAGTCAATATTTTGTCAACCTTCTAAATGCAAATATGCAAAGATGTAACAATGTGGTGGCAAGACTATGTACTAGACCAGAGATCTGAAGTCTGAGCACCACCAGGTCATGTAACTGGTTTTTAATAAGTAAGAGTGCTTACTATATACAAATATTATTATTTGGTAAAAAATATCTTAGTGGCCCCATATTTTCTTTATTATTAGGGTGGCTACATTTGAGTCCTATGTTCACCACTAATTACAGTTCCGAGCAAACAGCATTAAGGAACTGAAGGACTTTACTGGCTCCAACAGTTTGAGTGGCCCTAGATAGTGCTTACCTACCAGAGCACTCCATGACCATAAATCAATGCTGCATACATAAGAACGGTTATGGGGCCAGTTCATATGAAAAGCATTAGACATGAGTTCTAATACTTGCTATGTGAACCGGCCCTTATTGTTAAATTACAGGTGAGGCTGGTGTACAAAGATGATGAGGAAAACATCCCCAATTTTGATGAGATCTTCAGAGACGATGAGGATCAAGATGAGGTAAGGCTTGGGCTGTTTTGATTGTATTGTGTATATTTAACTATAAAATTTTTATAGGTATAAAATTTGTAAAAATATAAGAGTAAAAAGATACAGAAAAAATAAATGTAAAATCTCTTAAGTTTTCTGCACTATATTTCCAGGAGGAGGAAATAGAAAGTGGAAGGGAGGGCCTAGAAGCCCTTGTGGAGCGGCGGCGCGCGCGCAGAGCTTGGGAGGAGAGGAGGCATACCCTCATGTTTAATTATACACAGTTTTCTTACTTTGGGAAGCCTGTAATTATTGCTATTTAATACTGCAAATTATTATCCTTACAAATTTCTCAGTTCATTTTTTTTTATAATATCTAGTGAAATCTACACGCCTGTCCATAACAGTTGCAGTGCCACTCAGATCTTTAAATAGCAAAGATCTGAGGGGCATTGCCACTGCGCCCGTCACTCTGAGACAAGCTGACAAGTCCCATGTGCCTGTAATTTCACCAGCACCTTCAAAACCGGACACAGTAACGCTGACATTACTGCTTGGCGACTTTTTTGAGACTTGAGTCTCATGGTAGATTGCAGATCAAGTTGTTAAAGTTTATTTTACACGGAAAAAGAGACCCCAGTTAATTTGTTTTACTTTTATGATTAGAATTACTACATTTTTGTTTTGCAAAGTATACTACGAATCAAGGTTCGACGTTTAATCCTATTCTTCTGGAAATTCTTGTATTTTTTTGTTTAGGTAGCATGTGTAGTCTTGGACCTGGCGTGGCGAATGTCGCGCTGTGGCTGGGCCGTGCTGTGGGCGGCGAGCGTGGCGGCTTGTTCGCACGCGGCGCTGCACCGGCGCGCACCCGCGAGGTGTCTCTTAGACATTGACGCCTTGCACCGCTATGTAGCTGGCGGGCAGAGACAGACTGATGCCGAAATTGACACTGTGAGTACAATTTTGTACCAAATCGTAGCTTTTGTCTGTGCCAGGTTTTTCTCAGATTGCGTATGTCCACTTTTTATCTCGCATACTGCTTTAATTTTTAATTTCGATATACCGCATCGCGAGGTTTGTGGTAAAGAGTTATTTCATCACACTTTCGCGTGAATAGTATGATTGCATGCAGGCTTTGCCCGTGGAACTACTAGTAGTTCTGTTGGTAGTTCCATTGGCAACAAAGGGATTTACCTACTTCTGTCGTCAAGCAGTAATTTTCGCATTACTGCGTTCCAGTTTTGAAAAAAACTAATGTACGTGATTTAGATAAGAAAAAATAGTCTCAATTTCTATTGTAGAACAATCGCGTAAACCTAAGAATCAAAGACATAGTCAGTTTTTGGTCAAGCGCGAGTTGTTCATGAAAACGAATATTATTGACCAGTTTTATAATGCTCATCAACTGAGTTTTTTTGTGGGGATCACAACTACCCCCGTTGATGAATGGTTGCCATGCCGGACTGCCACGCAGAGGCCCCAGGTTTGATTCCCGGGCCAGGAGAAATATTTGTATGGCCTACATTTATTTCTCTCGTGATTTTGGGTGTAATTTGTGGTTGTCTATGTGTGTTCATGGCGTCGGCGACACAGGGTGTCCCTAGTTCGGGGCTAAGTTGGGTGTGTGCGTTATTATATTATTATTATTATTGTATTAAAGAAAATTCGGATACCAGAGTAAGTCAAGCTTATAAAATGTTTTATTCATGCATATTGGTACGTTAATGGAGCTGTAATAAACGTTCAATATGACCTCAATCTTTCTGTATGCTGGTCCTTTTTTGTGGTTGAACCCAATAAGAGATTTGTTTTTTTATAATATCAAGTGACGGGACGAACAAGTCGTGCGCCTGATGGTAAGCTACACGCCTGTCCATTACAGTTGCAGTGCCATTCAGATCTTAAAATCGCAAAGGTCTGATGGGCACTGCCACTGCGCCGGTCACCCTGCGACATAAGTTGACAAGTCTCATGTGCCTACAATTTCACCAGCACCTTTACCCTTCAAAACCGGAACACAGTAATGCTGACATTACTGCTTGGCGGCAGAAATAGGTGAGGTGGCACTACTTCCCTGCCACCAGCTCAACTGCTACTGAATTTTTGACTGTAACAAAGAAACTTCTAGTTACAAACCTGCCTGGTATAACATGCGTGTCACTTGTTTGTTTTAATGTGCAGGCAGCAAAGGTGGTGTTGGAGAAGGACGCGTTCTTGCCGCTGTACCGCCAGTGGTCCCTGGACTGCGCGATGCGGCACGCGCCGGCGCTCGGGCCTTACTTGAAGCAGCACACCATAGCCGGTGCAGGAAGGATACGGCAGCTGTTCGCAGACATGGGGTAATAGCCCGTTTACACTAATAAAGTAATAAGTAGGACATGTTCAAATATAGCTCATCAATCGTCGAATGTGGCACGATATTATTATGTACCTTTGTTTACCACTTTGTCCCGTATTCGTGTAAACCAGCTGTAAGAGTCAGAGCGTCATGTTTCCTCCAATCATTTTTAACCCCCGACGCAAAAGAGAGAGGAGTTATAATCTGTGTAGTAGTTTTGACGACCTCTGTGGTCGAGTGGCTTGCACACGGATTTACATGGTGTCGCCATCTCTGAGGTCCCGGGTTCGATTCTCGGCCGGGTCAGTTTAGAATATTGTCTCGGGTTTGGGGGTTTGTGGTACCGTCGTTGTTTCCGATTTCCATTTACAGGCACATAGGACTTATCAACTTATGTCTCAGGGTGACGGGCGCAGTGGCAGTCTCTCTCCGATCTTAGCGATCAAAGCTCCGAGTGGCACTGCAACTGTTGTGAACAGACGTATAGCTTACCATCAGGCGCACGACTAGTTCGTCCCGTCACTTGATATTATAAAAAAGCTAAAACCTTGATCTGAAGCTGCAACAGGACAATCTGCAACCTACGTAACACCTCAACTACATATTATGGTGTTTGGACTCATTGAATTTGTTTCTTTGAGTTCTTGGCATAGAGATGATAACTTTTTTATTTTTTGGAACCATTGACTTACAAATCGACGACGGGTCTAATACAAAAACCACGAAAAAAATGTCCCAAGTCAACATAGTGACATGTAAAGGAATATAAAAAAGCTAAAACGTTGAATTTAAATTGTAATGTCATCGCAGTACTTTCTAATTTTGCTTGCTTCGCTGTCAGTGGAACAAACGAAGACTAGAGCGTGAATGACGCTCTGTAGACGATTTTAACGCCCTATAAGTTCGGACACTTTTTAGCGCGGACCCGACGTCCATATAATTGTAAGTCAATGTTTGGAACACACTGTTTTGTATCGGGAGCTTTTAAATTTCAATTTCGATGTCTTACTTTCTCAAACTCGTATCTTATAAAGAGTGATTATTCAGGAGATTGTAAAACTTTCTATTTATTTTTAATTTCTTATCGAGGGTGTTAATTTGGATACATTACTTTAAGAATAAGTAAAAGCCAGTGTGTGAATAGTTCTGAGGCTCTAGAGATGCGCTTAACAATCCTAACCCATTGCCCCAAATACGGTTGCTACAAACACAATTAGAAGACTGAAAACAGCTGACGTGCTGTGCAATTAATGGGAGATAAGGCAATGGCCTTAATCGTCTGGAACGCCCTATACTTTCCAACTTCTCTGATTATAGTCCAGTCGCCTAATTGCAGAATTTGAAAGGAAAAAATAAAATACGTTATTCATAGTAATGGGGAAGCATTTATTTGTCCTTTTACGGTGTTTTCCTGAACGTAGTTATTTTCCAGTTTCCCACTGCAGCAAGCCCGCCAGTCGTACCGCTCGATGGACGTGGAGCTCCGCCGGAGCCTGCTGGACTCGCTGGAGGCCGCGGCGCCCAAGCACAAGCTGCCCGTGCCCACGCAAGTCACATTTCTGCTGCACAGGCCGCATTCGCCTGTCGTTGCTGCTCTGGACTTGGTCTACTGTATACTTGGCCTTATTGAACACGTAAGTATTCTATACTGGTGGTTATTTTTTTTGCTTTTTTTTGCATAGGTTGCATACTTAAGTGTGATATCGTGGTGAGGAAGAGGTGCGCCTTATATCCTGAGCATGGTTGCGAACAACCATGATAATCCGGTTTTAGATTGGTGGACGTCATTATACGTTATCTAATAACGAACTGCTCGATGGGGTATGAATGTTCTGTTTCTTATATCCTTATGTTTTATTTACATTTTTATATTGTACTAAGGCTATATTTATATAGCGCCAGAATGGAATGGAAGCGAATTTTGTAACAATATTATACATTTTATTTAATTTTTTATATTATTAAAGAATAACAACAGCCAACTTACGAGTAAATACATCTTACAACAAACAATATTTGTCATAAATAACTTAGGCCAAAATAGTAAACCACAATGACATAAATGTTGAAGCCTTATAAACAAACAGAACAAAACAAAATTAGTAATGAGCTTAGAGAATTTTAAATTAATTTTTAATTAGGGTTTAAATTAAAGTCTACAATAATTTATTTGTCTTGGTGATACATATATTAAAAACAATAATAAAACGTATACTTAAGATATAACTAATGATATATTATATAATATATAATCGATAACATGTATTTGTATAATTATATAAAATTAAATAAAAAAAACATTAGTTTAAATTAGTTATTAACACATTTAAAAAAAACATGTGGAGATTATGTAACATGTAAAGATGTTCAAAAACTTTACAAATGGTGTAGATGTTACGTATCTATTTGATCTACAGATTTGCAGATTTGACATTTTTTAAGAAACCTTCTTTACTACCAATGAAAGGGTCGATTCTACTAAAGTGCACATTATAACTGTTGACAATTCGTGATAACACTGCATTCTTGCTATAGTTAGTAGAGTGCATCACACATATACTCGAGAACGCCGTTGGCGACGCCTGGCGAATCGCTTGAGCACTCCAGCGACCGCCCTCTCGTTACTAAATTGTGCGACGTCAGTGTGGCAGCGGCGCGGTACAAGTGGGAGTGGGAAGTACGGTGCTGCCTGAGCGTGAATGGGCTGTTCCCAGGAGGCCACGCCCCGGGGCTCCGGCTTCCAGCACGCGCTGGCGGCGCTGGACACGGCCAGCGGCGACAGCGACAGCCGGCGGCTGGGCGCGGCCGCGGCGCAGGCGGCGCTGCAGGCCGTGGCGCGCCTCGTCAACGCCACGCTGGCGGCGCGCAAGCTGCACCTGGCGGGACCCTTCAGCTACTTCATCGTGCAGGAGGTCGTGTACTATTCTCAGCGTTCTTTCGGCTGCCTCGTTGGAAGGAAGATTACCGACGTCACCTGGTGGTGAAGGGTTGAGAATTTAATGTACAAGACGGCATAAAGCATATAACACTAACTTCTAATTTATAACAAATATATAAATTATTATTTACTTGTATCATCGAGTATATAACCTGAATAGAGACGAAATAAGGGCTTTGCGTTCCTGGTAACTCATCAGTGATACATCATTTATGAATATTAAATCTCGTTTGCACTGAAATATAGACAGCGCCAACAACTGAGCTGTGTGTACGTCTCCGTATATTCCAAAAATATTCTGTATTTATTGTAATAAAGATAATATCTCTAACAATGGCGTGCTGTTCTATTCCGTGGTGTGGGGAAAAACTGCAAAACGGTGGGGCGAGGTAACTTTACCTTTGGAGGAAATAAGACTAATAATGGAATACAAGAAAGAGATTATTCTGTCTTGGCTGTATGACGCATTAGTGCCTTTGCCTTTTCCAATGGAAAAAACAGTACTAAAAAAAAAAGACTAATAAGTTATAGAGCAGGACAGAGACAAAGCAATTGAAAATTGATCTTTTTTATTTGTTCGTCGGTATTCGTGGTTTTCCAGGGAACAAATCTCTTTTACTGTCAATATGAAAATTGATTTCGTAAGTTCATATTAGAGCCGCTGTTGCTGGACCTGGAAGCAAAAAAATGGTATATTCTAGACATATCAAGATGGGAGCCTTTAAGAGCCTTTACTACCTCAATGGCTTTGATCGATTCCGCCTAACAGTGTAAGTGTTGAATCAATCGCTTGGGAAAAAATATAGTAAAAAGATATACACTGATACAGTGCGTAAACACGCTTCCTAAAAATGTTCATGATAGCCATTGACTTACAAATAAATGGACGACGGGTCTAATACGAAAACCACGAAAAAAAATGTCCCAAGTCAACCTATTTAAACGTAGTGACATGTAAAGGAATATGAAAAAGCTAAAACGTTAGATTTAAATTGTAATGTCATCGCAGTACTGTCTAATTTTGCTTGCTTCGCTGTCAGTCGAACAAACGAAGACTAAAGCGTGAATGACGCTCTGTATACGATTTTAACACCCTATAAGTTCGGACACTTTTTAGCGCGGACCCGACGTCCATATAATTGTAAGTCAATGATGATAGCAAAAAAACAAACTTAACTGTCCCTAGCGCTCGACGCACGCCATGAACCGATTCAGTATGGGAAAAATTTTAACTCGAGCTGTGGACTGCCTCATGGACTCTTAAAAGAAGCTGTGTGGTAGAATTTTTGCCTACTCAATAAATGACGAAAACCAATGATCTTACATAAGATTGGTGAAAACTTAAAAGATAGAAGTATTTTACATATTACATTGATCTTACAATTGATTTTTCCATAATGACCACCACTAGCATTGACTTACAATTATATGGACGTCGAGTCCGCGCTAAAAAGTGTCCGAACTTATAGGGCGTTAAAATCGTATACAGAGCGTCATTCACGCTTTAAGGCCCATTTAGATGGGGAGAGTTTCTCGCACGCTTCGAGACGAAAACTCGTAGGCGATTCTCGTAAGCAATAATCGCCATAAGATTATCGTATCATAATGTTTACATTCAGGCAAGAACTAAAATCTCGCCTACGATTATGTCATACGAGACTCGTAAGCAACTTAATCGCCTCCTCGACTGTTTACATGGAGAAATATGTAGTAAGGAGATTCTTGCTTACGAGTTTTCGACTTGTCTAAACACGATCTCGTATGACATTTTTTCAAGTTCATACGATTATCGTACAAATCGGTTCGAACCGTTTTGAGTGCGAAAATTGCCATTCGAGTTCAGTGATTACTGCGGTATGACTATGGATATATCAAAATGATGCAAAAACCATTCAAATTTGAAACTGCTGATAATATTAAGTTCATTGCACTGTATAGAAATATAATTTTGATTTATCATTTTTTTTTTAAATTTTATAACTACTGACACAAACAAAACTGACAATTATGATAAATTTATAGGGCGAGTGAGTGCGTGTGTGAGTGCGTGAGTGACTGAATGAGTGAGTGAGTGAGTGCGTGCGTGAGTGAGTGAGTGAGTGATGAGTGAGTGAGTGAGGGGTGAGTGAGTCAGTGAGTGGTGAGTGAGTGAGTGGTGAGTGAGTGAGTGTGTGAGTGGTTAGTGAGTGAGTGAGTTGTGGGTGAGTGAGTGAGTGAGTGAGTTATGAGTGAGTGAGTGAGTAGGGAGTGAGTGGGGAGTTAGTGAGGAGTGTTTATTGAAAAGTACATTTACGTGAAAAGTCGTGTCGGCCATCTTGGATTTAGAAATAAATGCTATGTTCGTAATGAGCACCCCCAAATACCTCAAAAACGATACCCAACTTGCCATTATTTGAAAAGTGCGGGCACGACTTTTCATCCTGGATTTAGAAAGGAGTGCCATATTCGTTACGAGAGCACCCTAAATACTATATTGCCCACGCTATATTCGACCACAGAGGCACTCACTCACTCACCGTTATTTGAAATTTTTATTTCGCTCTTGTTCCATTAATTCTTGTCTTAGAAAAGCAGTGATAATCAAAACACCCTCGCGCGCTGCACTCGTGGTAGAAACGGCTGGCACAGAAACTCGAAATACGATTTTTGCTTTCGAGTTCTGTTTACACGGAGACGTTATATTGAAAGGCGAGGAGATTATCGCTCACGTGGACGGTCGATAATCGCAAATGTTTAGACGAGGAAAGTTTTTTTATATTCTTTCGATAATCGTATCTTCGAGACGAGAAACTCTCTCCATCTAAATGGGCCTTTAGTCTTCGTCTGTTCGACTGACAGCGAAGCAAGCAAAATTAGACAGTACTGCGATGACATTACAATTAAATTCAACGTTTTAGCTTTTTCATATTCCTTTACATGTCACTACGTTTAAATAGGTTGACTTGGGACATTTTTTTCGTGGTTTTTGTGTTAGACCCGTCGTCCATATAATTGTAAGTCAATGACCACTAGGCAGTTTACTTTGAAAGTGACAAGTGAGTTGGTATTGTAATTTTTATGTCATTTGAATAAGTTGCGAGTAATGTTTAGTGTGGTAAATAAATTGTTTAATATTGTAAATGTTGCAGGGCATTCCCGAAGCCGCCTTCGTGAAGGGCCCGCTGTGGCTGGGTGTGGCGGCGCGGTGGGCAGCGGCGGCCGCAGGCGGAAACCGGCCGCTCGTAGCCAGCGCGCCCGTAGATAATACTACTTGCCTGCTGATTGGAGTGCCGCCCAGATACGAGCAGGAACCCAAGAAGTGAGTGTCACAATATAATAAGTGGTTAATAGGGTGCCTGGAAGATATTGCTATCTAACAATAAGCTCGCCCGTTGTACCTGTCGTTTGTTTGTTTTTGTTATGCATTCACTTTTTATTTTATCCCAGTGTCGCCACCTACAGTTTTAAATATTTACTAAAGTTATTTTCTTTGCACTGATACCCTATGATATCATTAAAAAAAACTAAATGATTGTCCACAGTCTGTTCGGCGCCGCATTTGAGCAAGCAGCCACAAAGAGCGGCATCTCAGTGTCGTTAGACTACATGGATTCGGCGGTCATCACTTTGCCCATTGCCCAGAGGACGCAGTTCTTGGATGCCTTGACAGCTTTGCTGGCCTGAACATTGTGTGTTGAAGTGTTCACGTGTAATATAGTGTTATTTTTGTTAACACCAAACCTCGTACACGGCATTCTTATCACTATTATAACGAATTGTAAAAAAATTATACATTTTTTTTATACGACGCACACAACTTTGGAAAATCAACTATTTTTGACTGAAGAATGCTTTGCCGGGGCTTCAGATTAGTTAAAAGTAACCCTATGAAAGTTAATCTCCGCCTTTGTCTTATCTGTGTGTTTAATGTTGGATTTAATACGAAAATGGCTGGACTATAATGTAATTTAAAAATGTATGCATGTTGTTTGATTTTACTCAATGATAAGGCCAATTTACATTGCCGCGGAATGGATAAGAGCGGACGCGTCATTTCACCTCGTTGCGCGAAAATTTGCGAGAATGCTCGAGAATTCTTATGATTACGCCTCAATCTTTTACATGACACGGATGGTGGACTTGGATGTTGTTTTTGTTTCGCTTATTTGTGAAGATGAAAAAATGAAATATATGGGTTAATGACTTATGGAAGAATGGAAAATTTTTATGACCAGTATCCCCATTTAGTAAAGGCTTGATGCCGCAATGCATTTTGAAAGACGCGTGAAGTATTTTTTTCATATCTTGTTTGAATGTTACACAAGTTGCATAAATTTCATTATGCTATAAACATATCGTTTCGCAGCAATGTAAATTGAGCCTAAGTTATGTGTGTAATACTCAATTATTGTTCCATGTTCATTCTATGTATTGTGTGTGATTCCTTTCGCTTTGATTATGGATTTAAGATTAATTTTATTTTTGATTAATATAACACATAAAATAATGAAATGAAAATAAAATAGGAATTCAAGAAATAAAATTTTATTTCAAACAACTCAGTTTGAAAGAATATAAAAAGTTTATTATAGTAGATTTCTACCAGACTGTTCTGTATTTATACATTAACTTATAGAAAGTACCGCTTATGATCATAGTTTATTCCGTACAAAACGAGTAATCAGGTCAAAGGCCCATTTGGGCTGGTCACGGGGCACCATGTGACCTGCATTACGAACAAGTGCTTCAGTTAGATTACCAGCTTTCTTAATGTAACCTGCAATCTCACCATCTACCAACCATATAGCTCTTGGAGCTTTACTATATTCTTGAGATCCGCTAAAAGCTAAATTACGTAGAAAATTTTCTGTTAATGGGTAAGCTACAACTATGTCCAATTGACCGTTATAAAATAATATTCTATAGTGAGATAACAACTCTGAGATAATAGGAGCGACAGACTGAAGGATGTCAAGAGACAAATTAAACACAACATTTTCGCCGGAGTTGAACGGTAAACCTCCAACATGGATACTTTGTCTTATACTGTCATTTTCTAGTAAATCCATAAATACTGACATGTCTGTGTGGTCCTCTGTTATTAGAAAGTTGTAATAAGAATTGAACCCTGTGAAGGATTTAAAGTATGAAAAGTTTGCTATTTCGCCATCCAACAGTTTGTCCATTAGGATATCAGCTGCACCCCACATTTCAGCTTGTATTGCTTCCACAATTTTCTTCTGTAGTTCTTTAAAAAGTTTACATTGATTTTGATCAATTAACCCTAGTTGGTACAAGTAACTTCCATAATCTAGCTGGTTTACGGGATCACAAAATCCATTGCCTATGGCCATACCTATTAAATTGATTTTATTTACTACCCCTTTCATATTGTGATTGTGTATCTCTAATGCTAAAACTGGTATATATTTGCCAGCATATGATTCTCCTGTGATGAAGAAGTCATTATTAGCTAAGTCTGGGAAAAGGGTGAAGAATTGCAGCATTGCACTGTACAACCCTTTCCCTATGCAGTTCTCGTCAGTGCAGTAGCCATCCCTGTAGCTTGTAAAGCTGAAGCCAGTTCCAACTGGGTTGTCAATGAAGATCAAGTGATGGTTCCGTGCCCAGTGGTATTTTCTCAATGAGAATCCACCCTTCTTTGCTATAAGAGGGCCCAGTTCAGTGAACAAACCGTATAGAGAACTGCCGCCAGGCCCGCCTTGCAGCCACAACAATATGGGAGCGTCCTGTTGCTTGGAAAACGGCGGGAAATACCAAAAATAGAGATTCGAGTTGTACTGGGGATCTACAGTGAAAAAGCCGGCGTGACTTTGAAATCCAATTTTGGTAGTCAGAGGCACCCGCGACAAGTTCTGCGCTAACTCTATACGGCCCGACTTCAAGTATGGAGTCAGAATCAACGGCGCACCGGCGTTTCCATCACATTTGGCTCGCGCCTTAACGCGAGGGTACATATTTGCAAAGATTGTAGTGTCTCCAATTGGGAAAAAACTCAACAGCGTTATGTAGTAACCGTAAAATAAACACTTCATCTTCAACAGATTTCGACAAATTGATATGATCGACCAAATCGACAGTGATAAAATTCATTTAAAAAAAATAAACCGCGGGGTCGCTAACCTAAACTATTTTTTTGAAAGTTTTTTTTTTTTATATTAATGGCTTTGCCTTCGTATTTAGCCAATGACATACAATGTAGTTAGAAATCATAATGTTCATGATGTTAATGTTTAAAATCATATTTTTCAGAACAGTAAATATTTTCACTTTATTTTTCCATATTTGATGTTGAGATCTATAAAAAGTTGAAGTTACTGATACTGAACGAAAATTATGGTGCCACGATAAAGGGGCTCATTCATTATCCTGCACTGCAGTCGTATGCAGTCTATGATCACAACAACAATCAATCACACATTCTTGGCTGAGCCATACGCAGGATAGTGTCTGAGCAGCCTTCTGGCTGCGCGGATGGCTGTGGGCCGTTTTAGGTACTCTTTGCCTGCTGTCTAGCGTTGGGCAACTGATAAAAATATATCATATTGTATCGATATTTACAAACAGTATCGAATTTATCGAGATAAATATATCGATATTTTTCCCAAAGGCAGTAGTCACCTAAAAATATTCCCAAACTATATCTATTCAGGTATAAAGTAAAATTTGGAAAATTAAAGACACATCGTAGTATATCCGAATTACGCTGTAGGCTTGAACGTGTTGAAGATTAAAAAAAAAATCAAAAGCATGTAAAAGTAATTACTGTAAACCGACGAGCGTATGTAAGCATTGATGAGTGTTAATGAAGCGAAATGTAACAGGTTCGTGGCTAGTGAAAAGCGGTAGTCTCTGCCTACCCCGGTAGTAAAAGTAGCATTTGTCGACAAAATCGATACCGTCGGTAAAAAAGCCTTACGAATATTAAATAGCGAGTCTCTCAACGATTACAGAATACCGCTCGAAGTGTGTGGATAGTCCTTTAAAATACCTACTTCAGCAACAGCTGTATTCTTTTTTCACACCGGGGACCAGTCAAAGCGCGAGGAAGGGTCGCGCGCTCAACACGCACCGATTGATCATCATCATCCTATTTAAGAGCCAGGCTTTTATCGGTGACTGATAATAGTAGTAATCTTACAATACAAGATAAAGTGATTCTAATCCTACTGGATAATTTTATACATATAAGAGGTTTGCTAATAATTCTGTATAAACGTTGCTATATAAGCAGCTCATGTGCGATGTTGAAAAAAAAATCAATATCGTTAAAAAAAAAAAAGTGTTTTTATTTGTGATCATCAATGTAACAAAAATATGATAAAATTCTAGAATGCGAGGGCATTTTCCCACATAGCGTAATCCAAACAAAATCTCCAAACGAGTTGTTGAGTTGAGATTCCCTACATTTGGGAAATTCCCCATAAATTGGCAACACTGCAGTTAGTTCATCTTTCTAATTTGTGGTTCAGAAAAAGTCCGACTAAAGATCTCCGTAGTCTGTGCGAAAGATCAAAGAATCGGACGCCTATCGGACGTGTATTGAGTGAATCCGATCCGATAGTTGATCCGACCATCAGACACGAAATGGACATGTATTCCCGCGCTTACCGGTTAATTTTGTTTCCATTCCAATAAATGAAATTGTAAAATAAAACGTTCTGTAATTAATTCGTGCGTTAGCATCAGTCTGTGTCTGTGTCGCTGGAATGACTCCAATCTTGAATTTTAGTAAATAGAGGAAATAATAGTAGCACGTACTTAAATTAGTTTTGTCAATGCATTATCAATTTATTGTTATTTCAACAATTTGATGTTATAGGAAAGTTATCAAACTGTGACCGATGACCTGTTTAACGTCGTCTCGCATGTGATTGCGGACGGACATAGTTGTGTGTGAATACTGACAAATTATCAGTCCTTCGTTGCTACCTAGTGAAAGAACGTGAAGCAATGGGGCCTTTCTTGCTGGTTTTCATACTGCAAACACTTGCTTCAGTGCAATGTTTGTTTCACCGATACCCGAAGATAGAACTCAGTCTCCAAGATGAAGGCGACACCGGAAAACCGTTATTCCTCACTCCATACGTCGAGAGCGGGAACGTTATTGAAGGCAGACAACTCGCTCGTGTCCCCTTCACAGAGAGCCTGAATATTAAAAGTTATGCAGGATACTTCACCGTCAGTAAGGCTTACAACTCCAACCTGTTCTTCTGGTACTTTCCAGCAAAAGTACCCAATAACACCAAGGCTCCTGTCGTGGTCTGGTTACAGGGAGGCCCCGGCGCGACATCCCTGTACGGATTGTTCACTGAAAATGGACCTATTAGAATAAGAAATGGCAAATTTGAGAGAAGGAAATATAATTGGGCTCTTAGCCACAACATGATCTACATAGACAACCCGGTTGGGACAGGATTCAGTTTTACAAACAGCTCTAAGGGATATTGCACAAGTGAAACTCAAGTTGGTGAACAACTTTACTCCTTGTTGACCCAGTTCTTCCAGCTATTTCCTGAGCTCCAGCAAAGCAAATTCTTTGTCACTGGTGAATCTTACGGAGGGAAATATGTACCTGCTTTAGCCTACACTATTCATAAGAAAAACCCCACAGCGAAACTGAAAATTAACTTAAAGGGTATTGCTATTGGCAATGGTTTAAGTGATCCTATCCACCAGCTTCTTTATGGCAAGTATTTGTATCAAATTGGTCTTATAGACTGGAATCAAGCTAAAATTTTTGAAGAATATGAAAACAAAGTTGTTGATTACATTAAAAACCAAAAATGGGATGAAGCTTTTAATACTTTTGATACTCTTTTAAATGGAGATTTAATTGGTAAAAAGAGCATCTTTTACAATATGACTGGATTTGATTTTTACTTTAATTTCTTGCATTCTAAAAACTACAACGCTGATGAAGATTTTGGTCCTATGCTTCAAAAGAGTTATGTGCGCAAAGCTATTCATGTTGGAGACTTACCTTTCCATAATGGCACTATTGTTGAGCAGCATTTGAAACAAGATGTCATGAAGTCTGTGGCACCTTGGATATCAGAATTATTGGACTATTATAATGTAGTTATTTATAATGGACAGTTAGATATCATTGTTGCCTATCCTTTGACTGTTAATTACTTGAGAAACCTAAATTTTACGGGCTCTCAGGACTATAAGACAGCAAAGAGGTTTATTTGGAAGGTAGACGGGGATGTGGCAGGGTATGTGAAGGAAGCTGGAAAATTGGTGGAAATCTTAGTTAGAAATGCAGGGCACATGGTGCCAGGAGACCAACCAAAATGGGCTTTAGATCTGATTACTAGACTTACTCACGAGAAGACTTATGTTGCATCCTCTAATTCTAAACATTTTCATAATCATATTTAGATTCAATAAGTTTGTGGTGAATTTAATATTGTGTTGTTTATTAAGATTACACACTGACCCCTGTGTGACTCTGCAGTCTTCATATTAATAATTTCTATGTACAAATCAAATGCACTAGCTCCATTGTGCTTGGAGTGTGGAACTTGTATTTGTTATCAATGTCTTATTTTATACTTTTGTTGATGTGTATAACACAGTACAGATTTTTGTACATGTTATGGCTGTGTTTTGACTCCCACACCACTCTTGTTACATATTTGCTGAATACAAGTTTTTTTACAAATTGAAATGTTGATTGTTTTATTTCCTGTATGTAGATGTTATGCTTTAAACAGAGTAATTGTTTTGATTGAGGTGTAAGATAAAAAAGCAAGTTATCACAATATGAATGTCAGTTTTATTTCTTTAACCTAGCATTAATTATTATTTAAGACAACTCTGCACTTATACAATCCAAACTACAAAGTAGACAAATTTCTCATTGCTTCAGAGCTTGTTACAAACCTTGACAATGAAAGTTACAAAAATACGAGTTGATGAAAAGGGGAATGAAAACAGTATTTAATCTATCGGCCTTCAATGTAAGTCGACAACTCGATCTCTTCAGGTAGCTCCGTGATGTTCACATCAAAGCGGTCTTGAACTTCATTCAAGATCTTGGCATCGCCCTCATCAGATACCATAGTTATGGCTAATCCTTTAGTACCAAATCGCCCAGCACGGGCTACTCGGTGGAGGTATGTGTCTGAATCTTCAGGCATGTCATAGTTAAAGACAATGTTCACTCTCTCAATATCCATGCCCCTTCCAAATAAGTTTGTAGCCACTAAGATCCTTTTTTGAAAGTCCTTAAATTGCTGGTAGCGTGACAAACGCTCATCTTGGGTCATGTTGCGGTGGATTCCAATAGCAGGGAAGTTCTGGTCAGTCAGTAGTTGGGCAAGAGCTATGCAGCGTTGAACAGACTTGACAAAAATAACTACTTGATTAAATTCCAAGACATCCAGTAACTCGAAGAGTTTTTTGTTTTTTTCATTTTCCTTCAGCTTGACATAGTGCTGCTGGAGTCCATGCAATGTCAGCTTAGCTTCATCGTCAACATATACTTCCATAGGGTCCTGCATGAATTTTTTGCATACTGGTCGAATCTCCTTGCTGAGGGTAGCAGAGAACATCATAACTTGTTTTCCATGGGGTGTGTTCCGGAATATTTCCTGTACATCTCGTCTCATGTCCAGAGATTCAAGCATCTTGTCACATTCATCCAAAATAAAATGCTTCAGATGCTTCAGATTCAGTTTCTTGCTATTTACTAGTGCTAAGATTCTTCCTGGAGTGCCAACGACGATGTGAGGGCATGCTGTCTTTAATACTTCTTCATCTTTTTGTATCGGCATGCCGCCAAAGAATACTGATACTCTGACGCCCGGCATGTATTTCGAAAATCGCTCGTACTCCTTACTGATTTGGAACGCTAGTTCTCTCGTGTGGCACATGACGAGCACGTAGACATGATTTTCCGAGGGCTCCAGCTGTTGCAGGGTGGCCAATACAAACACAGCGGTTTTGCCCATACCGGATTTGGCTTGGCAAAGAATGTCCATGCCAAGAACTGCTTGTGGGATGCATTCATGTTGAACTTCCGAAGGGTGTTCGAAGCCGCAGTCAACAATGGCTCGTAATATTTCTGGCTTCAACAAGAAATCTCGAAAACCGGAACTGTGAATAGATACGTAAGATCCCTTAACCTCTTTCTTCGGTACCGCATCGGCGACTCCCTCGGCGGTCTGCTGATCCGCTGTCTCTTCGTCCTCGTAGTCCAGAAGATCATCGTTATCAGCCATATTTTTTAAATTTGTTATTAATTTAGTACTGGAGGTGAGCACGTGAAGTTTATTTAGAATATTGTTCACAATATTTCACAATGGCGTCTTTGGCGTCGATTCAATGGCGGCGAAAGTGTGTTGCCAATGTATAAAATATATTTCTACTATGGACTTTTCAGTAATTCTACAAAATAATTAGTTACTCATAAAATATAAATTACTTATAAAATATGTGTAGTACTGTATCTTTTGTTTACTGTACTTTTTTTAAGCACGCAATGTTTATTTAATTATTACCAAAACGTGTAAATATTTTTTTTCATCGGCACCACATTTATTGACAAATATAGTTTAGATTAGATATTGTTACCAAAGTTCGCAAATAACAATTTCAGGTTTAACGAGTCAAGATACTTGGTTTTTTAAATATAAAATATAAGCATGCATTTTGTTCTCCATTGCACCTGATAGAAAGTTTCTTTCCTTAAAATTTTACCTTTTTTGCAAAAAAGTATGTATACCTACATGAAGTTTATAGTTTTAGGAACAAAATTCATTTAAAAGTGTTTGATGAATGATGATTGATGATGACATATCGGCTTCCATCAACATTCACGGTTTTCATGTTAGCTAGCACGTAGTATAATCTTATAAAGGTGGATTCAGAATGCACCATTTCTGGCAATATATTGCCGCAATTTATTGCGTTGGTCATATTGCGACCTTGAATTGACCAATCAGGAGCTGCGACGTCAACTCAGGGAACTTTACTGTTTGTGGCTAGCACGGCCGACTCCAGGCGGCACAGTTGTAGTTAGTGTGATTAACAGGGAAATAGAGAATCTGCCCTACACAGATTGAAAATCTGCCAAACTTTTCTTGCGAAAATACCTAAAATATGCAGTGATATTTTAGTGTTTCCATTTGGAACAAACGTTTTTTAATGAACTTCTTCAACTTAAACCGTAACATGTTTTTTTTCTAATTATTTTTAGACTCAAAATTTATGACTTAAAATAAATTGCAAAATTTGTACATTGTACGTGTACATTTTCCTTCGTATTGTACATTCTTTTCGTTATACATTCTTCTTACTTCTTATACTTCTTATGATGGTTTAAAGCAGACACGGTCTCCGTGTTCCTTAAGACATTCCTTCACTGTTATGACTGAAGATCATATTTGTTTAGGAACCTGCTTCGTAACTTAGTTTTATTGAGGTTAACTTGTGAGAATATCCTTTCGCAGTCATACGAAAGGATATTCTCACTTTTTTATAAAACGTTAACATGATCTGCCACAGTGAAAATTAAATAGTTAATCAAAATTATCTTTATTTCGTAGGAGAGCAAATTAAACTTGAAATCGTTATATCTAGCACAATTTTTAAAGCCATACAGTCTTATCGTTTATGTAATCTTTAACAGAGTAATAATGTATCAAAGTAGCGTTTACTTCATCATATGATTTTTTAACTTATCATTGGATAGGCCTAAAACAGATTTTGGAATCTCATCATAATACGGAATACCTTGCCTCACAAAAGAACAGAGAACCCTCTGAAGTCTTAACTTCGGTAACACACCTACCTACCTAATATTACAATTATGTATGTCACTCAGTTTAATAAACCATGAATTGTTATTTAGACGTACAAAACTTATACAATATTGTAAATTAACTGAGATGCAGTGGTCAATATGCCAATTTCTTTAAAAATCTTCCTAACTGAGGTACGTGAGCTTAATTTATGGATCGCTCTAACCGCACGCTTCTGCAAAATAAAAATGTTTCGACATTAGAAGCTGCGCTCCACAATACAAGGCCGTATAACATACTATGAAAGTAACGAAGCCAGCGGCTAAATTTGCCTAAATGGCAAAAATCTACCACAAAATTAAATGGTCACACTGGTTTGTACTACTAGCTGAGGGGATTCGCTCTGGACCTTTTTTGGAGGGAAAAGTGTCGTTTTTATTTTGACTTTCAATTATTTTGTGAAATCTAGTTTAAAGTGGAATAGGATAGTGCTATTGTGCCTTAATCGAAGATTAAAACGCGAAATTATACGAATCTCGAACTAAAATACCCGTATCGGCCCGTTTTAAGGAATCCCGAGCCAATCCAACCACGCCGCTTCAAATTGCCTATCCTCTTTGTGGTGGCCATATTTACATAAATATAATTAATCGTTTGTGTTTTCGGTTGAAGGACTTTGTTTCCATGGCCAAAAATAATTTAAAAAAAAACTACTAGCTGAGTATATTTTCGTTTCATGGTCATTATTAATTTTTATGTTTCTTGACTAATCGGGCTTTTATAAATTGTACCTTACCAATTTATAAAACCATGGTATCAAAGTTAAAGTTGTTTTATTTTTAGTTTAATTAAATAAAGAAGATAATCGTTCCTGAACTCAGTTGATGGCTTCTGATTAGTTAGTTTCTTGTCATCAACATTATTTTTAACTCTTCGTCATTCCAATATTATGGAATTGGCTATGGTCAATGAACATATATATATATATATATATATATATAGGGCTTTAATAAATTCAATCTTTGAATTAGGTTTTTCTTTTTCCTTGTCTATTAGTTCTCGTTAAGTAGGTAAGTGAGTGATCATCTAACGAACGGTACATAGTTGCCACACACAAATATTTCCCTGATTATTGTGGAATAAGAAAAATATAAATAAATAAATATTCAGTGTAATCAAGTTTATTCAATTATAAATCACAGATCGAAAACAGTGCAGAAAAATCATAAAACTCACATTATTTTGCGGAACCGATTCTTACTAACATACTACAACTAGTTTGACTTAAAAGTTGCATTTACTGGTGATTATAACGTTAATTTGTATATTTAATAATTTGGTGGTTTCCTATAGACAACTCTACGAACGTGCACGAGCTAGACCTTATCCTAAGTTTACTTTCACTATACTTACAATTAGAATAATTTTTGAAATAGATAAGAAAAAATAGATTACCTGAACCAAATGGGTACATATTTAATTTTGTTCTTATATTTATTTATAGTACTTACATTTATATACTAAGCAAACTTCTAAAGCTTACAAGACTTTCGATTATCAATAAAATGTAATTAACATCTAGATACAGGTATGTCTTAAACACATACTTACTCCGCTGGCTCAGCAACCCAAAATGTGTCCCGTCTCCGAAACGAGATGACATCACTTTCTTCGGTCCTGTGACATCTCTCGCCAATTGATGGCTCGTAATTCGCGCAGGTCCGCCTCCACAGCGTCGCTCCAGCGGTACCTGAGACGACTTCGTCTGTTCACGTTCCGATCCTCTCCCATCCTTTCTAAATGGCCGAGCCAGCGAAGTCTTTGCGCTTTGGTTTCGCCAATGATGTTTGGCTGCGCGACGAGCTCTTCTATTTCAGCGTTAGTGCAGACTCTCCAGCTACCGTTTTCTCCTTGGACTAGCCCTAATATTTTCCTGAGAACCTTTTTCTCATCCACCAGGTGTTTGTTTTCTTCTTTAAGAGTGTCCAAGCCTCACAACCGTACGCAAGAATGGGCCTTATGACGGTCTTGTAGATTCGAATTTTGGCTTGATGGCTTTTGGTTTGGACACCAACACTTTGTGTAGAGCTGTACTACATCGTAGGGTGTTCTGGATGCGTATGTCTATATCCTCTTCCCTAGAGTTGGCATCTGTTAAAGTGCAGCCTAAATACTCATGTCTTAAACACATAGAATACTTAAAAAGTTACACTTTCGTTTTATTCTGCCATATCTCTGTTTCCTAACATTTTTCACTATACGGTTTCAAAGGTTTAAAATCAGCGTTACCACTCAAGTACGCATCTACAAAATTCTGTACCGAATCAGTTGTGATCTCGTCACCGTATTTCATCGTCACCAGCTTTTGTTTTGGGAAATCTATAGCAGTGAGCAATGGTACTGCGTCATCTAAGCCTATGTGTTCCCGCAGCATGTCGGCACTATCGGTTCCATCAATCCCTATGTAGAACATAACGTGTTTGAAAGATTTTTTCTTTAATCTAGAATGTTTCGTTGTTGGATAGTCGAAGTCCATAGTTTCATCGTCGGAAGAGTTCTGGAAAGGACAGAAGCCAGGATACTGAATGCTACATTCTTCGTAGTAGGACTCTGCCGAAGGTGTTAAAACTGATTCGGCAAACTCTATTTCAGAATCTTCATCATCTGTAAAGCAGATAAAGACACATGATCGTTTATTGTTTCGTAGGCAGATTGCCACCTCTGCTTTGTTTGTTTTAGTAGATTAGATTAGGTAATTTGAAACAGCACGTCTGAAAACTTACCTATGAAAAGAACAACGGCAGGATGTCTGGCCATTTTTAGTAGAGCTTGCTCTGTCAGGACCGACACAGGTTTTTGCGCCCATGGGAAATTCTACAAAGGAATAAGTGATCCAGTCATATTTTTCATTATTTTTCTACTTAATACCATGTAGGTCTAAGCACCGTACCAGTCCAGAAGGATCAGCAGTCAAGTGCTGTCTTCCATTAGCAGTCAACACCTTGCCACTTCCATCAGTAATGACAAGAGCTGGTATACCAGCAACCCCCAGAGCAGATGGTAGCGTCTGTCTAGCGTCTGATGCTGACCACGGCACTGCGAGGGCACCCACTGACGATACTGACTGGACGGTGCGGTTGTAGGACTGCTCACTCCTGTAACAGCACAGTGTTTCGTGGTCAGACAGTAATTAGCAGCCAGTTTCAAGTGTAATCATTTACAGTTACAATTCCAAAACACACAACAGGCGGTGATTAATCATTCATCGACCCTTCTGTATATATGTATAACTACACTTTCGTATACAGGGTGTTACGGACGGTGAACAGACTAACCGCGTATTACACATTCTAAGCAACTTTTTACATGGTAACCTATTTCGGGAAATGAAGAAAACTTCCACATGCAATATAAACATAATCAGACGATAAGAAAATTGTTCAGAAAAAGTAATTTCGAGTTTGGGTACACCATCCCTAACACTATATTTGTACGTAGAACATTCATAATCCATTAATAGCTAATCCACAGATTACTTAATGCTAAGCTCGTATCTACTCGGTACATGATCACGTAAATTCTGCGATTCCGCTTACACACAGCTAATGTTCTCCGATAAAGTAAAAAGTTGGCGTTTTTACGACGTAACTTAGCTTATGAGCTTAGCTCCGCAGTCTCGCAATTTACCCGAGCCGGAAATCTCGATATTGGATTGGGGAGCGCAAGTTAAAGTATACAATGCGCAACGAATAGAAATTAATTTATTTGTCCCGCTGCTTTTTCAAGTATTTGCAACAGACCTCTACTTCTGCTGTCGCAACTGCGGAATTACTGCACGCTTTTTCACATCTGCTTCCGTTTCTGTTTTCGCAACATCTGTACCGGAACTTTGGTTTCGAACAAAGTTTTTAGTAGTTTTGTGCTGTATAATAATTGCACATAAATTATTAAACCAAAAACAAGGCCTGCTGGGAACTATTTTCGTGAGTTCATTATAATATTTACTGACGAGTAAAAGACTGTTTCAAAATATTTACGTCCTGTTTTAAAATTCAATTTTGGATTTAATTACGTTTAAGATGTAAAATTTGATTTAAAACAGGACGTAAATATTTTAAAACAGTCGTGAAGACCTAAAACATGCTCCCCTGGAAAATTGTTCGAAACGTCACTTATGCCTTTTTTACAAAACATCGACTAAATGTCATTAACCGAGACTTAGACATATTCAATGTTCTACGAGTACGTGTTTCTTCAAGGAACGTAAGTTTGTAAGTCTACGGACAAACCTAATGGTCCTTGACAATCCTAATTGTGCTTCTGTAATTGGCGTACCAGAAATGGACGGTCCTTACGATTCCATGAAGGACAGACTTACTAATGACGGGTAGCTATATTAAGTTACATACCTATTTTATATATTAAATATATAATTTACAAATATTTGAAATTAAATCCTGCTTTTGATAACTCACAGAGAGCCTTGAACTATTTTTGTGACACGATATCACCAAATTCATATCTACGGAAAGTGTAGAAATGCGTATATTATATTCATGATATTGAGGACATTTGGCATCATGTTAGTTGTTCATTCTCGAGGGTGTAACCGTCCGGATAGCGTCAGCAAGAAATCTTGTTTGCTTTGTAAATTGAGACAAATTGTTAGGTACATTTTTTAACATCCTGGAGTGGATTCGTTATTGGCTGTTGTATAGGGCAGGTGTGTGGATAAAACGAATGTGTAATGTGTAAAATATGATAAAAGACAATAAGACGAAGGTAGAATTTTATAAATTATAAACCTCACAGTGTACGTATTTAACATGTAGATAGCACGTAAGAAACAATCTTCCTGTGTAATGGTATTAAAAAAGAAAAAATAGTTTATTTGGCAACATTGTACTTACCACTTAGCATTTAAATCTTCCAATTGTTGACCCAACAAGAGAATAGGGCGTTTATACTGTCCCTTGCAGAATTATGAGTAGGCTTTATTAAAGAATAAATCGTGGCAAGCGTACAAAGATAGGAATTTAAAATCTCTCTCTCTGTTAGCCAAAAACATGTGAGCCTGACCACTATTGTATCTACTTTAAAAACAGAATGTTCTTGTTGTATCGCCATTATTTGTAGATTTCGATTTTATGAACATTATGGTACACAGGGATATCTAAACGTTTCGTTTTTTATACAGTAAGAAGTTCTTTCTCCCCCGGGCTATTAAGCAAATAAAGTATAATATAGCGACGATTCTTCGAAGGCTCAATGCTGAAAGTTTGCTTTCACTTAGCCTAATGTGATAACTTTCTATTGCGACACGCAAACGGGACAAAGTACGGGACAAAGTGCGGGACAAACGACTGCCGAACTCGTATCATTCTATACAAAGGGATTTGAGTAATGGGTTTGATCGATAAAGTAAAAGGAATTGGAAATAATTATAACGAGTTTTTTAGGTTATTTTATTTAAGTTGAAATCTTAAAATTTAATTTGAATATTCCTTGGTGTGTTGTCCATTTCCTCTTGAAGAGCATATTTTATTTAGGAACTTGTTTTTTATTCGTTACTTAGAAGCGTGTCATTGTTATCTGACACAGTTTCTTGGTGCTATCGTTCCGGAGTTCGTCAGCGCTTAATTACATTTGCATTCCATTTAACTCACGCTGTTCCATCAAGTTTATTGCAAACAATAATATTGTAACACAACAAACCAGCGCGAACCGGGTGCTAATAGATGTAAACAACGGAGGAATACAGGCATTCCTTTTTGTTGGCAAAATACTCGTAACGCACCAAATTCGCGGAAATCATGGCTGCCGCGCGACAATGACAACATTTTCCCGCCATATTTTTCACGCGCGTCATTAACTACGGCTCATGAAATCTAAAGTAGCGTTCGTTTTTTTACTTCTTCCACTTAATGGTACATAGTCTATAAATGATTAACCGTTGAATTGGCACTAGCACCTCTAATTGGATTCTTTGTCCGTTTTTCTTTATATTTTAAGAATGACGTGTGAAGAAAGAAATGGAGCAGCTCCTACTGATTGGATTGATAAAAGCGTGCCTCAACGTAGTTTACCCGGTTTCCCCCAAAGCGAGTTCAGGGGCCGGGTAAATAAGGTCATAAACCGGCCATAAAAGCTCTAGGAGTGCGCGAGGAGTCGGTTATCGGTGCCCGGGTAATCCGAGCGGACGCCGCGCTGTATAAACGCGCACCGTTTTTATTGGACCTTTTATATGGAACGGTAAATTGAGTGAAATATTTCATTTACTTGTTTGCTCTGGATTTTTTAAGATATAAAGATTATTATAACGTTCTATATAAGACCCATAAAGTAATAGTTCAATTTCTTTTAAAAGACCCTCAAAGCTCGAAATTTAGCGTTCCTGCTGATTCGTCAAATAAAAAAGATTTTTTCTTCTGTTTGTGGCGATGGAAATTGCAGCAAAATCATCCGCTTCATGCTGTCTACGTCTAGTCAGGTTGATTAAAGCCCAGCGAACGAATTCATACGTAGGTATGACAAGATTTCCCTTTGATTTGTATTGCTTACTCCTTTTCAATAGAAGACGCTTTTCAAAGATTTCAAAGGTATACTATTTGAAGTACCCTAGAACATGGATCAAGTACATAAAGAGGTTTTGTGACAAGCTAAATCGGCTGTCGTAGAATATTTTGGGTAAATCTTATGGAACTTAGAAACAAACAAAAGTTTGAGCTGTAAACGAACGAAAGTATTCAGACATCGAAAATTAAGCGTGGGGTAGACAGCCACTAATATAGCTACACTTCGCTAAAAAGGGGGAAGTTACGTCACTAGATGCCTAGTCGCGACAGGTATCCCCTTCGCCTGTGCTAATGGAAGGGTAGAGCAGATAGGGTTGCTACATACAACATAAAACTTGTTTAATTTAAATTGTAACTACGCTAAAGCATTGTATGTCAGCCAATTATGAAAACCCTTTGAAAACTGACACCTGAGACTGGTGTGTTTATGGTAATTACGGGTTAGCAATGAAAGTGGTTTATTGGCAGCCCTGTGTAATTCGGTACGTAGAAATTTTAAGTGATATTGGTTGGATTGGGAAATTAGTTTCTGCCATTGGTGTTGAATTGTACGCGTAATGTGAAATTCATACTGGCATAGCGTTATTACGGGATGATCGCAAATGTGTCGTTTATTTGTTTATTTGGGATAGAATCCCAGATCAACTCTGTATGTGAAACCCAGCTTGGGGGCTGACTCGAGAGTTGAACTAGCAGAAAACAGCCGAAATTACTAAGGTATTTGGGTTATACGGAGTAGAAACTCTAATAACCATTACATCCAAATATTTGTCCCAAGGATTGGCAGCTGCCCAAACGTTTTTTTCTTGACTATTCTCGGTTAACGTTTCAGGCCATAGATATGATGTTTCATCCACTTACAAGGGTTTTTGACTTTTATCTTTAAAACGAGGAAACTTATAACATAAAAAGAAAACTTGGAAACGGGATTAGGAAGGTGGTGATAAAGAGATAAAAGGGAACTAAGCCATGCGAAAAGAAACGCTGTCAGTATTTAAGGCATTCTGCTGCGGTTACCCAATTCCTTACATTTAATCTAACTTTAGACCCTGTATTCAAGCTTTTAAAGGAATATTATGTATTAATTTATTATTGTAAATAATTTATTATTGTTAGATATTTCGTAAAGTTCTTATTAGCGGTGGTCGATGACAGAATTTGTAAGGATCATTCGAGTCGCGTAAATAGTCACTTGCTAACGAAATATCTTCTGCAAACCGTTAAATCTCTTTAGAAATGAAATAACTATCATCCGCAAAATTGGTTTACTGCTGTAGTCAAAAAATAAATGTACCAAATTCCATAGCAGAGTCAAGGGTATTGAATTATTTGGGCCGTCTGTTTCTGAGAAGTCTGAGAAAGATAAAATTTTTACATTAAAGTGCAGAATGAGCGTCATGCCGTGAAATGGGGACTAAAACAGCGTCTGGGGGGTTCTCCCTCGTACTTGACGAAAAATCGCGTTGCAGTTAAAAAATTACCTTTGTTTTAATTTAATTTAAGAGATATGAGTAGGTACAGGGCTGGGCAAAATACATGCTACATCTTAATTGAAATACAAATTACAAAATACTTCCTTA